TTCAATAACAAACACTATATCACATGACAGTACTTGTGGTCATGTTAAGGAATATAGTGCTCTTGTGCTAACTTTTCAGCGGAGATCTGTAGCATGTGATCATCTAAGTACAATATGGTAATGCATAAAAGTAAATATTTTCAACACTTTGTGATTAACTTTCTGCCTGGTACAGAAAAGGTGATCTACTGTTTAACTCAGAACATCAGAGTCTTGTGGCGAAAAAGAAATTTACCTTCTATATACCATTCACTATAATGTGGTCTCAAGTTTTGTCATAGTTCATGCAGCAATTAGCATATTAGGCATTCACGTTGTCAAGTCCGTTTTTGCATATAATTGTCAAGTGTTTGGTCAGTAGAGACATGTTTTGTGCAATATGAATTCATGGGATTTAAGCCACTTGGCAATGAGCAGTTAATGGTTAGAAAAGTATTGTTTCTTGCCTGTCTCCCTGTGTAATACTTGTGTTTCTCTTCCAGTCATGTCTACTGCAGTGATGGGCCGAGCAGCAAGAATGACTGGGCTGAAGAAGCCAAGACCTTTGAGGAAATTACGAGGAGGACACAGGTGAGTTTCAGTGTTTGGATTACAGACCCCAATCGGCTGGTCTGGAGACCAATGCCTTATCACTAAACTGATGGCCTAATGGTTGATGTCCCTGCATTCACAATGTTTTCCAAACCAGAAATGATAGGTCATGATGTCAAGGAAGACTTTTAGGTTTCTCATTATATGATTACTCACGGTAACTTGTGTTGTGGTAGTAGCAGTGTGCCAAATAGTTTCCAAATTTTGCTAGCCAGTCGGGCTAGCTATGCCTAAAAGTTAATAGCCCACAAAATAATTCACTAGCTCAGAATGTGAATGTACAGTCCGTTTGAGTCAGAAACGGACCAATGAATTGCAAATTTGATCATTGTACAAAATTGCCACATAAATATAAATAGTACACATGTTTATCATTTACTAATACCCAACAGCTTTCTTATATTTGAAAATTTTCCCACTCCACCAAAAAGTTGTTTTAGAATCTATCATCATTGAAACAGTTGTTATTTGTTAGCATGTGGGGTGAAACCTTGAGAAGCGGAACAGCCACTATCTCGGTAGTGCACGGATACACATGCCTGATGAACAATGAAGTTGAATACTGACGTGAAACAGTTGATGATTAAAGTGTAATGCGATTGTTTCCGTGCTGAAGCCGAAAGGGGGCAAACTATTTTATGTCATTAATAAATTCGTAAAGCGGGCAGCAAAAGCTTTTAGGAGTATCAGCAAGGTTACTGACAAATGTTCTGGAACACAAACATTGTGAGGGTGATCTGTGAGAAGCAGGTAGGGGTTGTGTCAAAATCACACAATTAAAACATTTGGACAACTTTCAAAAGAACCTTGTAAAGCAGTCTATCAACAAGCTCTATTCTGAAAACAAATACATGTTGCTGAAAATTTTAACAAAGCATTTGGAAGCAAGAACACAAACCGCAGAGTATCAAAGTACACACTCTAAGCGACTCTTACACTCTTTTGGGTATCGTTATAAGAAAAGTTCGAGGAGAATAGGTCAGTACTCTGTGAACGCCCTGATATCGTTCGCTTGAGAAATAATTTTCTCAGGGTTATAAAGAAGAAGCGCGAAGGGTTCGAGAGCCAGTGTACTTGGACTGAGACCTGGGTCAATACCTCGCACACTGCCAGCAGTCAGTGGGTATCCGATGTGGGTGATAAGGGGTCACGTAGAAAGCTGCCTCTAGGGAAAGGAGAGAGAATAATCATTCTCCATGCTGGTTGCTCCAGCAAAGGCTTTCTCCCAGGCTGTGACTTGGTATTCAGGGCAAAGTCCACAGATAACAGAGACTACCGTTCCGAGATGAATGGTGCAGTTTTCCTTGATTGGGTTGGTACCAGCTCTACCAGAGAAGTCTTTTATCGTAATGGACAATGCCCCATACCACAGCATGCAGGACCCGACAGTAAAGCCCCGACATCGAACAGTCGAAAAGGTGATATGATATCATGGCTCGACAAATTTCAGATCGCCACGGCCTTCAAAGGCAAGCGAAGCCTCAGCTATATAGAGATCATAAAACCCACAAAGGTGAACCTTTCTACAAAGTTGACAGTTAAATAAAAAGTAAAGGTCATGATATTCTGCGACTTCCACCCTATCACTGTGACCCTAACCCCATTGAAATGATATGGGGGTATTGTCAAAGGAGATGTTGCCAGATCAAACACAACTTTTAGATTACGTGACGTAGTGGTTTTGGTTAAGGAATCCCTTAACAAAATCACGACTGAAACTAACCTAAACTGTGTCAACAAGGTAGCTAACGTCATTGAACAAGGTTACTGGTCTCGGGATGGCTTACAACAGGCAACTGTGGCACCACTTGTCATCCCTTTAAGTCGTGACTATGACACTACGACAGACGAGGAACCGACATGTCTACGGAATAGATTTTGAGATGTCCCCAGCCATGACTGGCTGATTTCCGTTTCTCTGCGGTTTCACCCGCCGCGACAGATAACAACTTTGCGTTTTCAATGATGATGGATTGATGGTCTGGAAAATTTTCAAATATAAAGAAAGCTGTTGGGTATTAGTAAATGATAAACATGTGTACTATTTATATTTATGTGGCAATTTTGTACAATGATCAAATTGCAATTCATTGGTCCGTTTCTGACTCAAACGGACTGTAGTAACTAAGCTAAAGATTACAAATATAGATGAGAACTAGGATTGCCTCCTGGGCAATACTGACGGTCTTCAGACTTCCCCATACACTCCCCTTGGCTACATCTGTCGTTGAAATTCACATCGTCTCCCATATCTGCACGTGGACCATGCTTTGCAGTGGTAGTCTCTTTATAGGAGATATCTGTTCTCCCGCGTGTGCGCTCATCTGATAGTGAACGACCTGTGGGAAGTTTATCTGTATCAAAAATTACAACTGTGTAATGTGACTAACAAATTGCCTGCTTTAAAATTTTGTGTTATGACTTTTTCTGTTTTAAATGACAAGCGTAATGAATAGATGTTTTAATAAAACTCATTTTGACTCTGTACTTACAATGTCTATTAATGCAGAATAAAGCTGTCTTTTGCAGTATTCAAGAACATTCCATAAAATATCACAAAATTGACTTGCCAGTTCAGGCTGATATTCAGTCATAGTATAAAGAAATATGTTATGAAGGCTCACAGCAAACTGTCTACAAAACATACATTTTGAAAATATACATCATCTCTGCTGAGGAGTATAGCAAATGGGTGACTATTTGGAAACCCACAGGGTTTTGAGGTTTGAAAGATGATTTGAAAGTACGACTGCCATAGCTGCAGTTTTGTGTGTGAAGTTTTATTCTGTTTTAAATGTATATAAAATATTGTGCGTTTATGTGCTGGATTCCTGCAATCATGATGATGTAGCAGAAAGGGTTTTAGCGATCCTGGCACAGTCAGGCTGGTAAACAAACTGCTGGAGTCCCAGTTGTTACTTAAAGCTCATTGCTCTTTGGGCACTGGAAAACAAGGAAGCGGGGATTGTTGCTAGATTTTACTGTCGCTTCCTTCAGTTAGTTATCTCACAACTGACAAAATGCGAAAATCCTAATGTCCCTCCCTGATTGTGGCGTAACTATTGACTTTTACATAATAATAATGTGAAGCAAAAATGTTCCACATTTCATTATCTACAGTTTGGTACCTTCAAAAATGAAATTCATTGTGTTTTGCAGAGTTGTGAACCCTATAAAAATGCGTTTTGCCAAAATTGACCAACTTCCAAGGGCAATAACTCAGACACTATTCAAGATATGAATAGTGTTGTCTACATTGAGTGAAAATATGGTCCATTTATCCCTTATAGTTTTTGAGATATTGAGGTTGAAATTTTTCGACATTTTTGTTATCTGCCTTTAGCGGAAGCCGAAGTCGGGATTTTTCGACTATGTATCAATTTCAGCATACAGGCTATCACCCTAGAGTTTCACGAAAATTGGCCCAGCCGGTTAGGTCAGGAGAGCTGTCACAAAATTTGTACAAATAAGAAGAAGAAGATTTGGATAATAACAGTAGGTCTTCCAGACTTTCGTCTGAAGACCCAATAAGATATTGTTGGCAGGACACAGGTTTCATCATTAAGCTGCTAATATAATGAACATTTTATCAGGCCGTAATCTTGCATGATTATAAAGTTTATTATACCTTAACAAGTCGGAGAGAGTGATATGTTTACAAAATGACCCTATGAAAACTCACTAGCCAGTCGGACCCAGTGACTGTGGAGATTTACTGGTCCGACTGGATTTTTACTAGCCATGGGCTAGCAGGCCAGTGGCTATTTCACACACTGGGTAGTAGGAATGTATTTTACCAAACTGAAGGTAAAAGTATCACTTGAAATGCAAAGTGGTTTGTAATGATTTTTTACTGGTAATGGTGGTACAGGGGCTGCTGTTTTGCAAGTACTTCCATACAAATTTCTCATACTTTAGTATCAATATATGAACTTCACAAGCTGAGCTTGTCATAAGAGCAGAAGTAATCTTAGTCTCAAGTACTTGAACTTGAAGGCTTTAGGTTATAACTGCTTCGGAATTTTGAAAGTTCCAACACTTACCAATACCACCTATCTTTTAGCACCTCTTGGATTTTATCATGACCCATTTTTCTCTGTTTGGCAGACAACCAATGAAGAGCGATCACTAATGAGTGAAGCAACTTGTTTGATGTGTTTATCATGTTAGGGCCTAACCAGCATGATCACTGATGACCATACACAATTGTCTGTCAGAAGCTTCTCTCCTTGATATAACAAAAACCAAATGGCATTGGTATTGCTTTGATTAACTGAAACGTAAACGTGTGAAAATTGAGTGAAAAATATCTTTTGGTCTCCTTTCAGACACACAATTTGGGCAAGATGATTTCACAGAACAAAGTGAACTTGATTCAGCAAAGAGCAAAGGAATTTTGTGAAATCTGCTCATCCAATCCAAGACACATCAGAATGCACAAGGAAGACTTCAGTGGTATCTATGTTTCTTCCACATCAAAGTGTCAATGGGATGCAGGGTCCCGTGTTTGTCCTGTTCTTAGTTGCTGGGCACCTCTACAAAGTTAGTGAATTACTTATGTGTTATTACTTGAATTGGGAAGATCTGAGAAGTTTAGATGTCTTGCAGCTGACTTGGCCTATGAGGAAGGCCAAATAAATCCCTGATGTTGGACAGTGTTATAGGAATCCAGTAATTGACATGACCATTAGCTTTGCCCTCTATGTTTGACTTCGTCTTAGGCCAAAAATAAATGTTGTGGTTCGAATGCACCTCTTTGTAATTTAGGGTAGTTAGGATTTTTGGGTACAAACTAATAACACGTTTATCAATGTGTAATTGTTTATCAAGCTTGTCGACTTCCCCTATCAGAGGGACCAATGTCCATCAGTGACGGAAAAACAATGGTATCTAAAAGGTTATTTTATTCATACCGCCTGAAAAGGATAGAATTCGGCACCAGAATTCAAGGGTTGGTCGGGTAATCGGAACCACAACATCTTGTTTTTAGGCCTTAGGAGAATATGAATTGGGAACTACATGTATATAATTCAAATCTTTCATGAGTCATAATCTTAAGGTTAAAAAAATAATATACATACTCTCATGGAAGAGTTTGTCAACATCATGATTAAGCAGTAGTTTCATGATGATAAATATCTACATCTCATTGACACTCTTCAAAGCTGTGTTGAATTCAGCTTGTTCAGTCGCTACAGAATATATTCTCATTGCAGCCTCCAACACCTTTTCACACACTGCCACCCAACAGCCGTGCCCATCCACCAGACATCATCACACAACACTACCCCCAGGGGCGGAATGGCTTCAATAACTCAAACATGTGCAATGAGAAGAATAACAATATTCAGTATACGACTAGCCTACAGGACAATCTGAAGTGCAGACCACCTCCTAGCTTCCCCCGCCCTGGGGAGCAGCAGAGGGGTTGTAGGATGCAGGAATCCAGTAGTACACAGGACAAGGAGAAGAAGAAAAGTTCTTCTTTCACTGGAACTATACAGCTCGGAGGAGGAAGTAATCAAGAAACACTTGTCATTGCATCAACATGCCTGAAGAGTCTGCTGGTGGGTGAACATTAGTTTGGGTATCTGATGGAGATGTGTTATTTTAATTAACAAAGAAGGGCAGCAGGGTAGCCTAGTGGTCACACTGAAGACCCGGGTTCCATTCCCCACATGGGTACAATGTGTGAAGCCCATTTCTGGTGTCCTCAGCCTTGATATTGCTGGAATATTGCTAAAATCGGCATAAAACTAAACTCACTTACTTACTTACTCACTGGAGTGCTACTGCGTTGACATTTTCACCACTGTCACACTTTATTTCGTCCGAAGCATATCTCCTCAACTATTTGTGATAGTTCAGCCAAACTTGGTACATGTCAAGCATGATCCTTAGATGTGCCTTTTGCGGTTTAGACCCAGGTATGAATTTTATTTTTGCGGTTTCCATGGAAGCGTGACTTGGCTGTGGCTTTGATGATGTCATCTTGTTGCATTTCCATGACAACAAGTTAGGCTTCAACTTAATTTGGTGGTAGTGTTCCTTTCTGGAGCAGATCTTAAAACCTTTCAATACGCTTCTTCCACTTTGCTATGTACACTCCAAAACATTTGACATAATCATAACTAGTAGACATATTCATAAAGAGTATTTTGCCGTTGCAGGGGATATTGATGACTTCGTGTTCTTGTTTTAATGCATTGACAAACATGACCAGGAAAATTTGATAAATGAGGCTAACCAATTGTTTTGATGATTGATCGGGTTGTAATGAACCAATCATCAATTATATGCGATTTTAACCAATACCCAACGCTAGTAATAAGCAGTGTTGACATGTTGTTTATATAAACATTTGAATGCTTTTTTCCTGAAGTGACAATCTTTAAACATTTGGGGTTAGATTGAACATTTGTAATTCCAGACAGAGCCAGGCAGTGTTAATTGTTTCACTTTGAATTGGACCAGCAGAGTGAATATCACTGATATTTCTCAACACATGCAGTGAGAAACATGCAGGAAAAGATTGGATAGGAACAGATTTTTACACTCTTGAAGTATCTCATATACAAGTGTTGCAAAATGGTGTCACAATTTGTTCACATTCAGTTTGAAAAGATATCTGTTTCAGAAAGCTGCTAACCTTTTTAGCATGCCACATGAATGGAGAGCTGATTCAGATAGACAATGAGGAGGATGACTCATCAGAGGTGAGTGAACACTGGCCAAATTCAGAAATTTGAAAAAAAACAGAGGCACACACTCAAACTGAAGGGAATGAAAACATGGATAATTGTCGAGTCAACACATTCAAAGCTGGGCAAGTAAAAACATTGATAGACTGACACAACTGGGTGGCGTGTTGGGAGTCTTCAAGAGACTAAATCCCACCTTGATCTGCCAGACATTGGCCATGTGTGGGACATGTTCTAACATTTTGAATATTACTTAGATTGAGGAATGTATTGAGATATGTAACAAGGTAATGATTAGAATGTTGAGATAATGAAAGTGTTAGCACTATTACAGATATTGAGTAACCAATATTTGGCATGTATGACATAGGTATTTCCCTTGATACTACCTACCTGACAGCCACAATGTTTGTTGATCTGTGAGAATGAAATTTGATACTGTTGGCCAATTTACATTGTTTCATTTTGCATTGGTTCCATGAGAAATTATTTCGACTCTTGAATGAAATTCTGTTTATATCACTCAGAAAAAATAGCATTCGATGGCACTTGTCTCTGACATAACTTAGTTCATGCAGTTTGGAAGCTAATGTCTGCTGAAATATTTCATGTAATCTGTCATGCAGACCCTGAAGCAAATATATCCAAGAAAGCGCAAGTCTCAAAATGAGGCAAGTCTAGATTTCCACAGCTTCTGGAACTGAAGAAAGTCTCAGGGCTCCTTTTGATTATACAGTAGAACATGGATATAGCGAACACAGATATAGAGTACAAACGGATATAGCGAACAAATTAAAAAGTCCCGTCAGTAGTCCTTTATAATATCATTAAATTATACCACGAATAACGAACTCGTGAGTAGCTTAATTAACGCTATAGCGAACTGATTTACTACCCCAAGACCCAATTAACGACGCGTGATTAGCCGAACTCAGTGTCAGCTCAGCCACTTAACGGTATACATCAACCTTGTTGGCGGGCGAATCAACATTGTTTGATGGTCATTAATTAATGAACAAAACAAACTTATCGTGTTTAAAACCTTGACTGGTATACAGGTCTTCAGTTCACTCTCATCACTATGGCAGGCAAACGTAAAGGTATCACCTTTGACACCAAGCTTCAGATAATTCAGGCTGTAGATTCAGGTGTAAAATCTAAGACAAACATCGCTTTCGACTTTGGCATTCCAAAATCCGCCTCAGTTCCATTATTAAGAATTGCGAATCTATGCAAAATCTGTGTCTACTGATTTTGGCCCTACCATAATAAGTTAAGAGCTGCCAATCACCAAGATGTAGAAGATGCTTTCTACAAATGGTTTCAAGGGGCTAGAAGTGAGAACATTCCCTTAAATGGTCCCATGTTGCAGACTAAGGCAAATGAATTGGCATCTAAGTTAGGTCATTTAGATTTTAATTGCAATAGTGCTTGGATTGACAGATTCAAACAGAGGCATGGCATCGTATGTAAATCATCTCAAGGGAAAGTGCATTTGTTGACCCTGACCTCGTCAATGATTGGCTGAAAACCCGCCTGCCTGGCTATCTTGAAGAGTACAAGCCTGAAAAACATTTTCAATGCTGACGAAACTGGCCTCTTCTACAAAATGAAACCAAACAGAACTCTTCACTTTAAATCTGAAAAATGCAGTGGGGGTAAAATTCTAAAGAGAATAACATTGTTGGTAGCGGCAAACATGACTGGAAGTGAAAAACTTAAGTTGTTAGTCGTAGGGAAGTCAGATAAGCCTATTGTTAAACATGTTCTAGCTAATGTCTGTGAATGATAAATTCAGAATTTTAATGTTATGTCAATGCACAAGAATAAAGATTTGTGGCCTCAGCATATACATGTCTCTACATCTCTACAATCCAAGATGGCGGTCAAATGTGAATAACTTGAACAACGGATATAGCTTAATTAAATTTCTTGGTCCCTTGGAGTTCGTTATATCCATGTTCTACTGTATTTGTTTTTCTTACTATGAACTTTTTTCTGTAGAATATGTTCATTTCAGAGACTAGTTGTTAGTCTATATTTCATGGTGGATCTGCTTTAAAGGCATGACCTTGATATTCCCATCAGATGCAGAAAAAAAGAAATAGAAGTTCACATGCCCAAAGTTCCTGGTCTTTTCAAACCGAGTAAGTAGCAAGTGTAAAGATGTCTTTGTTTCTTGAAATTCATTATCATTCATATCATTATCCACCTGAAGAAGGGGCAAGAACCAGCCCAGAAACGTTGACAAATAAATCAAGAAGTTGTTATCAATAAGATTTGTCTTGTATCTTTGTTTCATTATATTATGAATCATTTCAAAATCTTGCCACCGAGATGTTAATTTATTATACCCCCGCTACGAAGTAAAAGGGTTACAGTGAGTTTGTTCTGTCCTTCCATCCCGAAACTTTGTCCGGAACATATCTCTAAATGTTTACATGCTAGGTTCACCAAACTTCACACACATGTTAATCATTACCCATAGATGTGCCCTTTGCTACTTTGAAGTAAATCAGAATTTTATTTTTTGCTGTTTCCATGGAAACATGACTTGGTTCAAAGTGTGTTTGATGGTTATCTTGTCCGGATCGTATCTCTGTAGCTATACATGCAAGGTTCAATTATTAATATAATCAGTAAATGGCAAGACTATTATCTAACGTGTATAAAGTTTGGAGTCAAGGAGAAAGTCTTGTGAGCTGCTGATCCCTTGTCACATTATATATATCAATATCAGTCATTTCCATGTCCCAAAGTGGGAAGTGGCGGTATGTGAGCTGTGCTTACTTCTACACTTGTTAAGTCACACCAAAGCTGTTTAACCCCATAATATTCAGTATATAGCCTACTGGTATCCCTGTACTTGCTCTGTTTTGGCAGATTATGACCAGAGGCTCTCTTGCAGCAGCATGAGCAGCAGTGGAAGAAGCAGCAACCGCAGCAGCTGCTCATATGAAGAGAGTGAACTGGAGTGGTCACTTTTAGATGAGCAAGACAGAAGTTGTGACCCTCCCACTTCCTGTGTGTCTTCTTTTAAAGGTGGGTCTGTACACTACTCCCAGTAGTGGTGGTCCGATTAATTGAAATAATTGAAGATTGGTCGCAGTGACTGAGCGACCAAGCAATCGATCATGTTTTCTCATAATCGAACACATACAATTCTGGAACACTTGTTTGCATTAACAATATTTTTCACAGGATTGGTTTTGTTTGTTTACATTTCATGAGCACTACAAGCTTGGTCCAAGTCATGATTGAATTTATCTTAAAGAGCCAAGAAATATATGTTTCGAACATACTAGTCATACTTTAAAGATGTGAAATTTGCAAACAAAACCCCAAAGAACTACGTGGTTTTTCTTTGTTTTTTGTGACGCTTAACCAATTATTACCCATGATTGATGGGTTGTAATAAACCAATCATCAATTATGAGATTTTAACCAATTCCCAACACAAGCTCCCAGTAGATGGTCTAGGGATAAGTCCTGGTGGTCCTTGCTTGTGTGAAGAAGCAGAAGCATGGGTTTTCATTGTTATATTTTTAGATTTAAAAGAATTTAGCAATGCACAGTTTCTGTGTGTGGATATTATATCTAAAAAATTTCCTTATCCTGGCTCATGCTAAATGCTTGTCTCCTTCTTCTTGCGAATGATAGTGGAACACTTGAAATCCCTTGAAGTTCTCTTCTAAACAGCGGACGTAAAATCACCACTCACCCACAAGTTACCTCCCTTTCCTCCTTGGCCCTTTTGGTCAACTGACCGGCCATGTTTTGTCACTCTCTCTGTATATATGCCCGACACCCAGATTTACAGGAAATCCAGAGTGCCATAAGAGGGGAGGTTTGGAGGGCTGACTTCAAGAGTCAGGATAAGTATAAAATATCAATTTTAGTCAGAAATGCTAAATGCTTGCAGATTTTAACTTACCTTACCATAGGTCTTATGCATATTACCTCAAGCTCCGGCTTAAAGAGATCAGACAGTCGTTGATTAAGCCATTCTATAGAAGCGGCCACCTCGTGTATCGGCGAGTGTACAGGCAACGAGTGGCGTGATCTCCCCTCCAGCATAGCGGTCCATCAAAATCACTTTTACTTCAAAGCGTCTTGCTTGTCAGGCGTTTTGTTTAGCTAAGTTTTCAGACACTTACTAATAGATTTCAGATATTAAAGTTATTGGTATGTATGTTTTCTATCTTATGTCTCTTCTCTGTGGGTGAAGAACATAATTTACAAATAACTTCACTTACCTGGCTACCTCGTGTTTATGTTTTTCGCCCGGCTTGGGGTGTGTCCCCGTTCGAGTTTTTTTCCACGTGGCATGTTTGGGTGTTTTGATACCTCTAGGGTTCTTCCACCTTCTGTTTCATGCTTGTTTTTGTGTACCTTCTTTTTTCTTGCCTAAATTGTGTGTTTTTTCACGCTTTTTTCGGCTCAGTGTGGGGGCAGCCATCTTGGTTGTTTACGACTGTCCCACTTACCAGGCGTGCCCATTCTTGTGGGAGGGGTGCTTCCATTTTTTCGTCTGCAGGGGTTGTTTCTAGGTTTTTTACGTTTCACATTTGTGTGTTACAGCTTTTGGTGTGCATGACCCGGCAGTTTTGTTGCATCTGCAAGGTGCAGAAGTCTGCCAAGGACCCACACCCTGGTGCCCAGACTGTCGCGACTGTTGCCTGTTCCATTGTGGCTGTCACTTTTGTACTCCGCTGTCCGTCGCGCAGATTTCAAGGCCTACCTCAGCTAAGAAGAAGCGCTTGTCACAGCGGAAGAGGAAAATGTCTTCCCCTGTTTCTTCTGTGGACTCCGGTCTTCTCCCCTAAATGCGCCCGGTCGGACGCTCTTCTCCTGTGATAGATCAGCCGTCCACCCCTGCGCCTCGTTTGCTGGCGCCTGAAGCCAAAGCTTCGTCTGTCTGCGCCTTTGTTGACCTATCCCACCGGACGGCTTTATGCATCCGGAGGTTCAGAAGTTGCCGGACGCTCCTTTGCCGGCAGCTGCGGATTAAGCTAGCACCGTTCCAGCGCCGTTGCCTAGCTTTGTCCCTGCGCCCGGCGCCTGTGGCACTGATTCTCCAGTTGCTGACTTGTTGCTTCAACCAACGTCGATGCCTACGCCGACGCCCATGCGGACGCCGGCGCCTATGCCGACGCCGACGCCGACGCCCATGCTGACGCCGACGCCTGTACCGACGCCAGCGCCAGCGCCAACTCCGACGCCTTTGGCAGACTACCGTATCCCCAGGAAGGCTACAGTGTCTAGAGAGGAGAACCTACAGCGTCAGTTAATGGAAGAAGCGTTCCCGGCGTCAGGACGCCGAGCGTTCCCATCGTTCTCGACGATCTCGTTCCAGGTCTCCTCGGCAGCATCATCGGTCTAGGAGTCCTCGTCTTAGTTCGGATACTTCTCTTCGCCGTCGTCGGTCTGACTCAAGGTCTCGCTCTCCCGTACGTTCCAAGGATAGGGGAGGCTCCTGATCACCGATGCGTGGTAAGGCGATACCGTCGGTCCGTTCAAGGTCACCTCCTGTTCGCGCTTCGCCCGCGGCGTCCACGTTCCCGACAGTTACTTTGAGTGCTGCTTCTCAGTTGTCATCGGTAAGCCCACGAAGCCTGCTGCCGGGTCCAGCGATTTACTGCTCCTACCGTGTCCTGGGAGGACACTGAGGGCGCTATTTTTCTCCCGATTATAATGAGGAAATGTTGCAAGAGGATGATGATGATGGGGGCACCTACCTCCCTCTCTCTGCTGTGTTCGACTGGATTGCCGACAGACTGCCGGATTGTCCTTCTCCCTCTTCAGGTTCGGCCGACCGAAGGCTATTCGGTCTTCTCGGAGTTACTCCTCCGCCTCACCCGATGGTGGCGATGCTGTGGCTTCTTTGGGCGCTGATTTTGCTACTTTGTCTCTCAATACCACGATAAAGGCTCCTAAGTCGCAAAGGGACTACAAGATTCATAGTTTGGATTTTGCCGATGGAGTAGCGGCTCATGGCGAGTCCCTCAAAGCGCTTATCGGCTTCCCCACAGGCATCCTACCGAGTGCAGGACTCCAAGATGTTGGCCATTGATGCAGAACTCAAGCGGATGTTGAAGCCCGGTATCAGCGTTGGCCTCGGCGGCAACCGGCTGCTGCTTGGGATCTGGCCGGAAGACAACGCGTCAAGGTTAGAACATCTTACCACCCTGTTTCAATGGCAGGGCAAGGTGTTGCATGATTTGCTGGCGCACCTCGAGGCGGCTCTGGCCATGACAACGGTTGTTGTTCGGCGGATGGGTTTCCTGGAGCCCTGTTCTTGGCAGGAAGAGTTTAAAAGGAAACTGTTAAGAGCCCCTTTTGCGTCTCGTTTCCTCTTTAATGGCGGCATTCGGAGGTGTATAAGGGAACGCAGAGCTTACCAATACGGAGGTTTCTTTGTCTACGTTGAAGCTTTGAGTTGACCTTTTCGTGGCAGATCATCTGCAAGGGGTAGAGGAAGCGCCGTTACGTCGAAGAGACTCCGTCGCGGCGCCTCTGGCAGAAGGGCGTGGCGTGGCAGATCGAACCTGTTTTCAGCGCCGTCAGCAGGATCGTCCCGGGACCCCCCCGCCGCCCGGCAGGGAAGTAGGAGGCGCCCTTACGCCGATTAAGCTGAAGTTGCGACCCAACACGACTGGGACCTCCGCCCCAGTCGTGCGGTTCGTCCTACTCCAGTAGGCGGGAGACTGGGGATCTTCTGGCCCAATTGGACAATCCTGGAAGACCCGTTTATCACCAACATTCTCAGGACCGGTTACAAGCTGCCAATCGCCGTGTCGCCGCCTCTGACTTCAACGCCCCAGTCACGTGTGTATGCTCCAGACCAACAGTTACTGCTAGCAGACAGCATCCACACTCTGTTACGCAAACAAGCTATAGAGACAGTGCTAGACCCCCGACAGTCCCCGGGGTTCTACTCACCAATCTTCCTGGTTCCCAAGAAGGACTCAGGGAAACTACGCATGATTCACAACATGGCAGTTTTCAACCACCTTTATCTTTCGGAACCGCCTCACTTCCGCATGGTGTCCCTGGAACAGCTACGAGCCAAGCTTGCGCCCAGGGTCTGGTTGGCCAGCCTCGACCTTCAGGATGCCTACCTGCATGTGCCCATTTACCACCGTCACAGAAAGTACCTGAGGTTCTTTTTCAACGGGTCCCACTACCAGTGGAAAGTGCTTCCATTTGGAATTTCCACGGCCCCGTGGCTTTTTACTCGGATTACCTCGCCGATCACCCGGTTCCTCCATCTCAGGGGCATCGACCCGACCCTTATATAGGCGACTGTCTCATGAACCACCTCGACCCTCAGTTAGCCAAACAGATGCACTTTGCCATTCATCTCTTGCAGCAACTGGGATGGATTATCAACATAGACAAATCCCACCTGGAGCCGTCCAGGAACTGGCGTTTATAGGAGGCCTCTTCCTGACACATTGCGACCTTGTCAGGATTCAGCTAGATCGCTGGAGAAAGATTGTCAGTTTAAGCCAACCGAGGTCTATCCCAGCCGCTTTCGTGCTCAGGGAGTGGCAGTCCCTCTTAGGTCTCCTCACCTCAGCCCAGGACTTGGCGGCTCAGAGGTAAGCGATGCCCGGCCGTTACAGCGCTTCCTGTTGCCTTACATCCAGGCGGACGACCTTCAGATGAGGTTCCTTTTGCCCCTGCATCTCCACGCTTACCTCCGTTGGTGGACTGTCGAGTCGAACGTCTGCGCAGGAGTCTCCTTGACAGAGTTTGTTCACGATCACGAACTGTTAGTAGATGCGTCTCTTCAAGGTTGGGGTGCTCACCTCAACGACCAGACCACCTCGGGGCTGTGGTCAGGCACCGAGCTAGGATGGCACATCAACAACTTGGAGCTGCAAGCAGTCATTTTAGCGGTTCGACACTGGGTGCCTCTGTTGCGGAACACCAGGCTCCTGATAGCGTCGGACAATTCCACGGTGGTGTGGTTGATTCACAATCAGGGAACGACCAGGTCCAAACAGTTGTTGGAGCAGACGTTCCAGCTGGCCAGTCTCCTGGGCGACAATGGCATCAGCGCCAGAGCCCGACACATCCCAGGGTGCAAGAACGTTTTGGCAGACGCTCTCTCAAGGCCGGGCAAACCGTCTCCAACAGAGTGGATGCTACATCCAGAAGCGTTCAAACTTCTTTGTCACAGTCACGGCCGCCCTCTGATCGACCTGTTTGCGACTCGCTTCAACACACAGCTGCCGTTGTACGTGTCTCCGATTCCAGATCCAGCGGCATGGGCGGTCGACGCCATGTCCTTGTCGTGGGAGGGTCTGGACGTGTACGCCTTTCCACCACCAGTTCTGTTGCCAGCGGTAATAGCAAAGGTCAAGCGGACAGAGACGATTCGTCTGCTTTTGGTCGCGCCTTGGTGGCCAGCCAGAACCTGGTTCCCAGATCTGCGCCGTCTCGCCGAAAGAAGTCCGCAACAGTTACCAGACTGGCCTCACCTGCTCAGGCATCCCCACAGTCGACAGTGGCATCCCGATCCGACTCGGTTTCATCTGTGCGGTTGGATCATCTGCAAAAGGCGCTGAAGGCCAAGGGCTTCTCCACGGGTGTCGCCAAGGTTATTGCTCGTGCTCATCGAGTCTCCACAAGATCACTCTATGATGATAAGTGGGTTTCTTTTGAGAAGTTTTGTGCACAGAAGTCCAAGGACCCGTTGAAGGCTTCTCCTCAGTTTATAGCAGAGTTCCTTCTCTTTCTTCGGAAGTCCCGGCGTCTCAAGGGCAACACTATAGGAACTTATTTATCGGCTCTTAACTCCGTTCTGGCGGTCAAGTGCGACAAAAAGATTTCCAAGGTGCCAGAACTCATCGCCGTCCTCAAAGCGTTTAAGCTGGAGGACCAGAAGGCAAAGCTCCGTCCTCCGGCTTGGGACCTAAACGTCGTTCTTCGTCATCTGAGAGGTCCCCCTTATGAGCCCTTGGACACGGCTTCTTTTGAGAACCTCTCCAGGAAGACAGCCTTTCTCTTGGCCCTGGCCACAGCAGCTAGGGTTAGTGAGATCCACGCATTGGATGTCACCAGGGTGCGTTTTGAGCAGTCACGGCATGGTCTTGTTCATCTCGGACTGCTTTGGGATTTCGTGGCCAAGAACCAGCTGCGGGACAACCCGGATAGGATCTTCTCCATCCCTCCTTTGTCTTCCATTCTAGGACCTCACGCGGCTGAGGAACAGCTGCTTTGTCCGTGAGGGCACTTAAGATTTATATTGCCAAGTCATCTTCCAGGAGGCAGTCTCGTAGAGACTGTTCATCCGTTGTCTTCTGTGGCCAAAGGTGAAGTTAATAAGAATACGCTTGCGCTCTGGCTCCGTACTACCATCCTGACCGCCTACGATGCGCAAGATCTGCCTCATCCTACAGCCAATAATCCGCATGAGATTAGGGCTCTGGCATCCACCATGGCTCTCCACAGAAACTGCACCGTTCCAGCCATCATGGAGGGTTGTTTTTGGAAGTCCTCTACTGTCTTCGCTAGTCATTACCTGCGGGATTTGGCCGTCGAGGACGTGGAAGGTCTTCAATCGTTTGGTCCACTGGTGGTTGCTCAGCAACTCACCCGTCCTACCGCCCATTAGGTAACTACTTCTTCTTACCTTCTGGTCTTCAGGTTAACTTACACTTTGGGTGTATTTGTTTTCCTTAGGGTTGCCTTTAGTTACTATCTGTCTCCTGTTCCAGGCGCCTCCTGCGACAGTCTGGCGATTCAGTAGTTTCTTCTGGTTTTCCCTTGGCATGTGGGTTTTTCGTGGGACGGTCCTCTGGAGCCCGACACCGCCGTCCTACTGTCGAATCCATATGCATAAGACCTATGGTAAGGTAAGTTAAAAATTTATTAAAATCTAAATATTTTAGATATTTAAATACTTACCTTACCATAGGGCGGTAACTCCCTCCCAACGCTGGATGCTCCTCCCCTCTCTGGGCTCTTCGGACCTGGTCAGTAAAAGTGATTTTGGATGGACCCGGCTTTGCTGGAGGGGAAGATCACGTCACTTCCGTTGCCTGTACACTTTCGTCGATACACGAGGTGGCCGTTCTATAGAATGGCGAATCAGCGACTGTCTGATCTCTTTAAAGCGGAGCTTGAGGTAATATGCATAAGACCTATGGTAAGGTAAGTATTTAAATATCTAAAATATTTAGATTTTAATAACCTGAAAACAATTATCTTTGTCTTGTTCAGGTTTAACTTCATTCCTGTGGCATCACAAAATTCTTCAACTCTCTTTTTTTTCTGTAACTGATTGGCAGAATCTGGAAACAGCTGAAACATCATCAATAAGGCCAACAATTGTCATCAAGGTGAACTTTCTTCTATGAGGCTGTTTTGAATATCTGTGGCTTCTGCATAATCTGAAAGGAAGTGGTCAGCCAACTCAGATATGGAACCTCTCTGAGTCAAAAAAGACAAAACAATAAGAGATTGCCTCAGGGAACTTTCTCATTTCTGTGTCTTGAAAAGCAAACATGAACCTGGCAGTTCTTGAAAAGAAACATGAATGGAGTACAATAAAGGCTGTGCTAATGAAATTATGGCTATTTTACACACCATTTCTGAAAGTTATGGCATCTACACTCAACGCTGTGTATTGTTGATGTTATATGAATGTTCTCTGTGCATTTGGTTTCTGAAAATCAGAATTCCTGAGTAAAGGCTTTAAAGAATGAAAAACACAAAAACTGTAAAACTGACATGTGACTAAGGGACTGATGGATTTTGATTGTAACATTATGCAGTCTTCCTAACCCATTCAGCCACTGCAGCTGCCACAATTTTAAATTCTCATAGCTGGTAGTCTGGACCACAGACTTTGTGTACCCCACTGATAAGTGTAAATTGGCACGGCTCCCACAGCTGAAAACTATGAACACACAATGCCATTTAGGAAGTGGTCAAATGTAGAACTTTTTTATATTTGGGATGATACTTTGTCAGTGAAAAACAGATGCTAGTCCTTTTATTGGGTTGAGACCCATATGGGATTTGAACCCACACCCTCACAGTCAGGCACCTAATCTCCAACACACAAAGTCAGGCGCCTAACCCATTCAGCCACGGGGCTTCCACTAAAATGGAAGTCAGACAACTGGTAGTCTAGGCTGTGGACTTTGTGTACCCCTCTGATGTGTAAATAGGCACAGCTCCCACAGACAAATCTACACAATCCCACGAAATCAAATCTACATTTGTGAGTTCTATTATCACAACCATAACATTTATTTTTAGGGCTTTAGCGTGTAGAAAATAGGCTCTGCATGTACAATCAATGTCACTCACTGTCAAACACTCCCAACACTCACATTATGTTTTAGAGTGTGGGTACCACAATGGCGATGTATTGCAATACAGTTTATTTGGCAATACACAGCCCTACTTATGTACTATGCCGCTTCTGTTTTTTCAGGGAGGTTTGTTTCTGTGGGAGCAGTACAATGACAGCTACACACGGACGTACCACGCCCACAGGAGTCGGGCGGGGACAGCCCTGGTGGTGCTCCGCATCCTGTTGGCCGGCATGTTTGGATGGAATCTCTACACAACCATTAAAGCTGAGAGAAGTTCATTAAAGCGTGAATTTTATAGTTCTTTTACAAAAGTAAGTTTTGATCTAGTTGTTTACAAGAAACATTTTTGGTATGTGTGTGATATTTTTCTTTGGTGTCTTGTTGTCATGTTTAGTATGGTATGTTTCCACACAACAGTTCATTTTCAATAATCAGCTTATATTATGATGATTGGTATCATTATCATTCATAACTTTGTATATCGTAAGAAAGGCGACCGCCTCCGTGGTGTAGTGGTTAGAGCGTCCGCCCGGAGAGCGGAAGGTCGCGGGTTTCGATCCCTGACCGCGTCATACCAAAAGACGTTAAAATATGGTACTTGTTGGTCCCTGCCTGGCGCTCGGCATTAATGGGTACAACAAGGACTGGTTGGCTTGGAGTCAGTATAATGTGTCTGAGTGGGGTATTCATGCTTCACTGCGGCATGGTATCTCAGTGAGCTAGGACTATAATACCAGCTTCAGTCTGGGCTAGTACAAGCAGCCGCACATACACATACACACGCATGCACGTCATCATATGAGCTGAAATATTCTCAAGCCGACGTTAAACCCAATTTCACCTCACCTCACCTCGTAAGAAAGGAGACCCGTGGAGATCCTGGTCTTCAGCAACTCCATGCTTGTCTTCAGATGCTACCATTAACTCAATCAGGTGGTCAGGCTCGCTGACTTGGTTGACACATGTCATCGTATGCCACTTGTGTAGAACGATGCTCATGTTGTTGGTCACTGGATTGTCTGGTCCAGACTTGATTATTCACAGACCGCCATTATATAGCTGGAATATTGCTGAGTGCCGCATTAAACAACAACCAACCAAACCAAACCTAACCAAACCAAACCAAGAAAGGTATGATACTTGGATGACAACTTAGTCCAAAGCATGATAAAGCATCATGTGTTTCATTATTATTCATCAACTTAAAAAATGCCAATCAAACAGATCACTTGTGATCACCCCCAGATGTTATTGATCTCTTTAGTTACATCATGGGACACAGTGAAATATTGCTGCTCCATTGCTGTCATGTACAGTGAAGCCTCGTTAATCCGGACGGTTGCATTTCTCAGCAAATTCGTCCGGATTTTGAATCGTCCGGACTACTGAATCAAGACCCAAGTTCAAGCAATATATATTCTGTAAAATGTACTTGTCCAAGAGATCACAGTTTGTACAACAGAGTTGTGTCCCTTAGGCGTACCAAAAACCCTTTTTCAGCACCAGAGGCACTGTGGTAAACATTTGAGAACTGCATAATTTAGGGCTTGTTGCCCATAGCGACAAGCCACTACGTAAACTGCACTGACTCACTAAACTGCACTGTTTACTTCAGGCCTGCATGTTGTGGTTCCTGTGCTATCCTGCCACTGTTACTATAACATGGATATTTCCGGAATACCTCCGCTCAAAGGTAAGATTTAGGGCTAAATTATCGAAAGTCTTGTAGTTCTCGTAATGTCAAATTATCTGCCCTTGATTTCTATTTGCTAATTTGATTGGATAATTGCCTCAATGTGGTGGCTAGTCCCATTGATTATGAACAAGTTGGCAAGACATTCAATATTTAAAACAGACTGACTCACTAAAGGAAGCCCTAAATATATTTTTAATGGAAAATATGTGGTCATGACCATAACTGACTGTGTTTGGTTTCTAATTTCAAGTTATCTCCCTTACACGTTCACCAATGTTAGCGTTTGATTGGTTGTTAAAATGTTTATGTAGACAATTTGTGATCACATGAACAATGTAAATGGATCAATTGATTAGAATAGAATTACTGAATGAAAGCACTTGAAGTCTGGAGATCATTTGACCACATTCTAAAGGCATTGTGTGTAACCTGGCTAAAATGCACGATAATCGGAAATATTGTCGATAGGAAGAATTATTAATGATTATCAATATGAAAATTGTGTTATCGATGAAAGTTGTAATTTTCTCACACAATATACAAATTTAGCACTGTACTCATGGTCTGCCTTGAAACTGTTCCGGATGCTGTTTTGTTAAGAATCGATGAAAAACATGTCACCACTCACTAATGATGGGAAATATATTCATTTCTTTCATTTTGGTCAATGTTACGGCTCAGATATTTATCGATAATTGATACTTTGTTAATGATTATTGATCTCTATGATATCTATCAGTGTATGAAATAAGGCCCGTCCGACCGCCCAAGACGGGCTAGATTTCTGACAGGTGGTCTAAATTTACAGCTAGCCAGTCCAATGGTCTGGTAAAATATTTAGATGTTCTATACATCTTGAGTAAATTCACAATATCTTGGTGTCTGGTCTGGTTAAATCCATTTCGGGCTGGTAACATTTTGAAGTTACCAGCCCTGATGTCTGGCTGGGTTTTTGGCTTATTTCATACACTGTCTATACCGTTAGTAGTGTTGGGAATTGGTTGAAATCTCACAATTGAGGATTGCTTCATTACCAACAAACAATCATCGAAAAAAAATTGGTTAGCGTAATTTTTCAGATGTCCTATCTAGGTTGTTATTGCAGATATGTATAGCATGATGCAGTTAGCTACTTTAAAGTGATGACTAATATATCATGAACATAAACTTCCTGGAATTTTCAAGAAATATTCAGTCATGACTTTTTAGTTAGTGGAAGAAAAACAAGTTTTCAGGCCCTGAAAACTTAGAAGACATGTTCCATCGTCAAGTGTTTCAAAGACTAAAACAGTAGTTCCAAAATTGTTTGTGTTCAATTATGAGAAAATGTGATTGATTGCTTGGTCGTTTGGTCACTGCGACCAATCTTCCATTATTTCAATTGATTGGAACACCGCTAATTGTTAGCCAGTCCTAGTAACCTAACTCCTTCTTTGTATTGCAGTTAGTGTTGATGGGGGTGTTGCTTAGCCAGTCCCTGGCCGGGGCGTTCCTGTACAAGCTCTTCCTCTCCAGAAGCCTATACTGGGAAGTGTCCGCCCTCTCCAGCACCCTGCCACTCAGATTTGATAAAACCTTTAGCTTGAAGATGTATTCTTGACACTATGTAGTGGACGTCATTTTGTCATCAGTGTCACTCAATACATAACAAATGATCGTTTCAGTTTCATATCAATGAAGTTGTTGTTTACCATTCAGAGACAAACTGAAACCTCAGAATGCCATGTGATAACTTTTCGTTTTTATGATGATCATACTGGTTTTATGTGTTGTTTTCAAAAGAAGATTCGAAGGTTGTAGGGGCAGTGGGGTAGTCTAGTGGTTAAAGTGTTTGGGCAAGATTACAGAATACCGGATACCTATCCGCCATTTTTATTTTGATTGCGCATTTATTTTGGCGCACTTCCGTTTTGTTTCCTTAGCAACGGCACGCCATGAATGAAGGCTGTGTTGAAGCAGCGTTCAATATTAAATATTAAATATTAAACAATATTAAAGCTAAAAAAAGGTAAGATAATGGGGGTAAAGGGGGTACCACCCTTTATTTAAAAGCCTTACCTACCTTACCTTACCTTACCAATCAAAAAACACTTACCATCAGAGTGTTCCCACACTGTAGAGTTCCTTTTCCCAGCATGCATTTGAATAAAATTTCAACACACGATTACTTTTTACTCTGTTTACGTCAGTGAACGCTGTTAAAATCCCCAGTTTAGGTTTCCTAAACCGAAAGTAAGGGAGAGGAATTCGATTTTAACCTTATTTTTTACCTTAAATTCGTATTTTTATTGGATCGCTCGCAGGCTCGCGCTCTCTGTTTCTTCTATATATAGGAGCCTCACGCGCACAATAGAATGTATATAATTAGGTATCCGGTATTCTGTAAGTGTACCAGTGTTTGTTTGTCACACTGAAGACCTGGGTTTGATACCCCACATGGGTACAATGTGTGAAGTCCATTTCTGGTGTCCCCAGCCATGATATTGCTGGAATATTGCTAAAAGCGTGTAAAACTAAACTCACTCACTCAAAGGTTGGAAGTTTCCAAATCCATTTCCTTGACCCAATTGATAGAATAAACAATGTAACCCTGAGGATTGAAAGATATTTCTGATATTTTCACATTGATATTAGCAGTTCCAGTGTATTGGTCAGTAGAAACTCTGGAGAAAAGTGTGATTCATGTACTGGCCTAAAATGTAATGTTTTTTCTATGTTCATGGTCCTAGAAGCAGTCATGTGTCTTTCAACAGAAACACATACTGACTATATGTCAGTATAAGAAAAGTATATGACGTTCAAGTTAAAGTCAAGAACAAGTTGTCAAGATAGCACTTTCAAGATCCGAGTGGCTTGTAATAGGGAAGGTGGTCAGTTTGCTGCTTTTTGAATAGTATCTCAGTGAGATCATAGAGTATACTCTTGATGTAGGAAAGCTTCATCACTTTGGTAGCTCCCAATTTATGCATCATCTACAGAGCTTTGATGAACCCCAATATTCAGATAGCTCATGGCAAAAGCTATTTTGTCACTTTGAAGCTATGAAGTGGAATTATAGCTGGAATATGTAAAGTTGATATGGAACATGTTTGGGTTTTTTTCATTTGAATCCAACAATAGATTATGTTGTTTGTCCAGTGTAATTGGGTGGTGCAATTTGAATGGAGATGTGTTTTTGATGTACTCTCAGCTACTCGCAATTGAATCCAAGGCCATTTTTCATCAACTATCCAGGATCAGACCATTAATTACTGGAATATTTTACAGGAATATTATTAACAGGGGTGTGGAAATTGATAAATTGTTCTCTTGACCAGAAACATACACCATGGTACACCATTTCCTTCTTAATCTGATAAAATGATATTTCTCCACATTAACACCCCAACCAGCCAACCCAACCTCCCTTGATTATCCAGCCTATTATTATATCCCAATTCCCTTATAGTAGATATGCTGGATAATCAGGGGTGACATAAAGTGACAGATAACGTAGAAATACTGAATACTGAAAAGAACGATTCTCACAAAATGTGTTTAAAAGATTCAGAAATAATTTATCTTTGACAATAATCTCAGTTCCTGGTTCTATTGAATGAAGAATCCCAGTTGGTGCGGTGCTTGTAGCCATTTCGGGCAGATACAGATGTATATGTCCTTCATCTCACATTTTGTTTATCAAGTTATTGTCATATCAGTAAATATTGGTTGTTGATTATTTACTTTGCATGTTCACAAACTTTGAAGCATGTATTTATTTGGTCCATGCATGTTTATGATATTTGTTTGATATTTACGCTATTTTATACATACAGGTGATCTAGGTTGTGTTAGCTTGAAAGGATGGAGCTGTTCAATACAGTTGCATAGAGGTTCTATAGTGAGCCATGGCTAGATATAGTTTTGATTTTGTTTGTTGCATAGACACAGCCAAAAGGTAAACGTGTTTAATCAATGTTTACCTCTATCTCAAAAGCTTGAAAAAATTAACATATATCAACGTTCGAAATACCTGCCTGCCCCATTGCCCGGGACGGGTTATTTTCAACACGGACTGCCAGATTCTCAAATTCACCTGCCCGACGGTTGGGTTAAAATTTGGACATGTATATGAAGATATTCATGATATTTCAGGATAATAAATCATTATTAAAAATAAATGATGATTTCCAATTAGATGATAAACTACGTCGCTTGTCAAACCTAAATTATTTGCAGGTAGGTAAGTTTTGGTGAGGGCTGGCAAGTTTTACATCTAACCAGCCTGGTGGTCTGGCTAAATCTATTGGGAGTTTCATACCCTGCATGTATACCATAATTGTATTTATCATCTTGAGTACATTTAGCTTAAAAACTACGCATCCTCGCTAAGATTCCATTCAAGTTCTTTACCTGTTTGGCAATGATATTTTAATGTCATATGGAGCTGTTGGCAGAAGACAGACAATGTTGACATGGAAAAAATAATTTCATGTTTTGTAGGAAGTTTTCTTTTCAGTTAAATGAGCCTAAGTGGCCCAGTGGTGCTGTAACCAGCTGTGTAGAGTTGTGTCCCCTTAACTGCCAGGATTAATTGTTGGTTTGAATCCAAAGTTTTCCTATGAAGCTACAGCATCATACTTGAATTTGCAATGTATCATATTTTGATAAATAACCTAGACCCAATTTCTACCATTGGTTTGATTTTGTTGTCACCATTGTTGTACACAGTAAACTTCCTCAGATTACCAACTTCTCTCAAGAGAATGACCAGTAGAATTTGTATGGCATGGTGTTGAAAGCTCAGCAAATAATAGTCTAGATGATACCATATAGAATTTGTCAGCTAATAATTCCAGATGAAACCATATAGATCTTGGAATATGCCATGAACAAAACCTTCTTGGTAGTTCTGTAGTTCTACTTGAAATCTTAGGAACCTGTTCAAGATGGAAACTGGTTATAGATCTATCCTCTGTCATGTATCTCATGATGTTCCTGTTGAAAACCTTTAATGATATGTAAGATATTGGTACACTGAACTTTAATACCTTATCAGTTGTAGGTATAGCAGACCAGTGTCCCACGGTTCATGTCCTTGTATATATACTACTCACACTTTGATAAGGATCACAATAATTCTTTACTTAAACGTATATTTATAATATGAAATTGTATCCATTTAAAACTGGATAAATATTAATATGGTAACCCTTCTTTATGCAGACAGCCACTTTATTCTAACCTTATGCACTTGATACATGAGTAACCTTAGAAATGGTTTTCGTGGCACCAATCAACCATTTTGATGGATCCAAATCATTGAACGAGTCACTGACAAATAGACAACACCTGTCAATAGCAGGTATGGGATCCACAAGATGCAATGACATACTGAAACCTAGGAACCATGCTTGCATAAGCTTTGATATTTAAACCAAATTTGACCCCACATCATAGTTTTCTGTTGAATGCATGATTTGATCCTCAGCAAAGTGTGAATAGTATATAAGACCATGATCTCAATCTGCAGCCCATGTCGAGGTCGTCAGGGATGTCATCAGTGAGAACATGTGCTCATCAAGACATCCAAATGTGTATGTCCTCATCTCAATGTCCTCATACGTGTCCTCTTGTGAAGGTTCTGTACCTGTACCAATGTTAATATCCTTACGTCGTGTACTTGTCCTCATGATGGTCCTCATGTACATTTCTCCTTGTGACAGTCGTCATGTACCTGTGCCTCAGTCAACATCAGAGTTCAGGTCCTCATGTGACAGTCCTCATATACCCATGTCCATGTCAACATATACTACTCACACTTTGCTAAGGATCACCAAACTTCATAACTTTACTTAAATGTAGATGTATAATTTGAAATTGTATCCATTCGAAATTGGATAAATAATAATATGGTAACCGCTCTTTAGGCAAACAGTCACTTGAATCTAACCTTATGCACTTGATACATGAGTAAGCATAGAAATTGTTTTCATGGCACCAATCAACCATTTTGCAAATCATGGAACGAGTCATTGACAAGTACACAACGCCTGTCTATAGCAGGTATGTGTTCCACAAGATGAAATGACAAACTGAAACCTAGGATCCATGCTTACAATAAACTTAGATATTTAAACCAAATTTGACCCCACATCATAGTTTTCTGTCGAATCCATGATTTGATCCTCAGCAAAGTGTGAATAGTATATTATGTATTATGAGATCTTGAGTGTGTGTCTTTGTGATGACCTGTGTGTACCAATGTCAACACCTTTCTGTGTCTAGGTCAATGTCCCTTTGTCAAGGTCTGTATGTATATGTCATCAATGTTCCAATGTTATCACCAGTTCAACTTCCACACGATAATGTTGACAATCTCATATCCCCAAACCCCAATGTCCATAACAATGTTCGGATGAAAATATTCTCACATCAACATCCCCATGTGTACATTCTCCAACATGACCGACTGCTGTACTGCATGGCTGTTTCCCATGGTTGTTGCCTGTCTATATTTAAATAGAAATAAATATCTATTTTACATGAGAATGTGTCAGTTGTCATTTGCATATTCTTTAAACAACCACCTTCCTTAACCCTTGAAGATCCACATTTGACATAAGTGTCAAAACCGCATAGATCGTTTCTCATGTCAGTCACTTGATTTATATATTTACAGACATCCATCATATAGCAGGAAAATGCTTAGTGCAATGTTAAACAACAGACAACTTTCTTCATTTGCATTTTGAGGAAAGGAGGGCAAATTAGTTGCCCTCAGAAAGGAAGTGAAAGAAGAGTTACCTCCCTTGAACACAGCCTTGTCAACCTATCAGACTTCTGGGTTGTACAAAACAACTCATGCTTGTTGTGTGAGGCAGCTAAATGGATGGAGTGGTCTGGATCGGTAATTTAAAGTCTTCATGCTCTAATACTGTGAAGATTTCTCACAATATGACTCAATGACTTGTCCTCTCTAAACTTGGTTTGGGCATTAGCTGCCCTGTCGTATAATTTCACTGTGCAGTGTTGTGCCCCAGGGGCATTCCAGAAACCAAGGGAGGGTTCCAATTCAGGTTCACCCTGATTGTTGAAAAACATGTTGAAAGTGAAAAACATCTGGGATCTGCATCACTTCAGACCTTCAAGTTCAAATATTCTGCCGACTCTTATGTGGAACACGGTGCAAAGTATAAAATCCAACTCACCTCAAACTTGGTATTTACAAGGGTTTGTTATAAAGAACTTAACTTAACTTGCACTATGTCAGCAATGGATTACTGATAATTTCTAATTCAGCTAATTCACAAGCTTTGACACATATCAAATCCCAATTATTTAGATCAATGTTCATGCTGTTGATCACAGGACTGTCTGGTCGAAACTCGAGTATTTACAGACTGTCGCCATAGCTGGAATATTGCTGAGTGCGGCGTAAAACAACAAACGCACACACACAAAACACAAGCTTCTGACCGACGATGCCACTCTTCATGAACCGAGGTCAGACTAAGCCTTACAGTTTTGGACCCAGTTTTAAAAACATTGTTCTCATCACCTGTGTCATGTTATCACCTAGTTCAGCAGTGGTGTAATGATACGGCAATACGGTATCATGAAGATTATGATATAATACAACAATTTACAACTCCTGTATCTTAACACATATGATGCATTTGAAGTTATATTGATGTAAAAACACAAACTCTTCAAGAACCAAAGTACAGTCAAATCCCGATGAGTCGAATCTCTGGGGACCAAGTAATAAATTCGACTTATCAATGTATTCGAGACATAGGTATGTCTATGAGGGTAGAAAAAAAGATGATCCAGTCCTAATTCCTCCGCCTAAGCATTTGTTTATCTAATGATTTCTCTATCACTAATAGGGGCACCTTATCAGTTCCAGTCTGATTAGCACAGACAGTGATTTCCGTAAAATCACTAATCTGCCTTTTGAACTCACCCGTCAAAGGCGGAAAGGTGTGAGCCGCGCTGGTTTGTTAATTGGATCAGTTTGCTACACCAATCAACTTCTCATTGACTGACTTCGGCTTATGTATACAAGATTGCTGTTGTTTGAATTTCATGGGACCAAAGTTTCTTCTCAAGTCATCGTGTGTATTTATAAGTCGAATTCGTGTAACTGGTATTCAAATGATGACAACTATAACAGGGAATGGTCGGGACTGACAGGTACTTCGAGTTATGCATAATATTCGAGACACCGGCATTCGACTCATCGAGATTTGACTCTATGCAGATTCTCTAGTGTTTCCTGGCTGCCTATAAAGAACACAATCTGAAGTCTCCCAGAGTTTGTCATACATGTGTTTCTCCCTTTTGATATTCCATCATTGAAACAAACGATTCAGGGTTTTGATTCAAATGCAAAATTGGAGACAATATGAACTTATGAAAGAAAAATATTTATCAGGATATGAATATCGTAACGCCCCCATATTATGAGAATGCATATTGTATCTTAGCTTCGCCATATTGTTAGATCTCCAGTGTCCACCTAAACCTATCTGCCATCATTAGTGTATGTAGCAGCCATAAAAAGTCCTGTGCTGGGATTCAACCATGGACCTTCTGATCTGAAGTCAGACACCTTGTCCACATGACCATAGAGGTCAACCCCTTCAGCAAGCTGACAAGGTAAGGATGTCATCTGTGGATTAACTCCATGCCCTGGTACATGTATATTTTCAAGAATTGATATTAATTATTTCAAAAATTTGATTTTTTTGTTTCACATAAGGAAAAATGTGATTTTCGTGTACACTTCCCCGTTAATATGATCATGGAAACGGGCGAAAAGCATCATTACAAACTGTATAGGATTTCCTGATGTTTCATTTCATGTATTTTATTACCAAATTGATGATTGCTGGATTATTTACAATGAAGTATCTGAGACAAGCGGTCACACAAACAACAGAAAATATCTGCATACTTGATGTATGATTATGATGTTGACAGCCAATAGTCTCTAACCAGTGATATGCTTGTAGCACTTGGTTCTCGTCAACAAAGCAGTTGGAGCAAATAGGTGACCGTAACTCGTATAGTTTAACACACACTTGTGACTGTTGATGACGACTGCTTTGTGGAAAAGTCTCTGGAGATGTTGCCTAAGATTAGAATTCTCTTGAAACCTAGATGCACGTGTGACACAAGAGGCATTGCTGACTGACTGAGTTTGGTTTTACTCCGCTTTTAGCAATATTCCAGCACCATCACGGCGGGGGACACCAGAAATGGGCTTCACACATTGTACCCATGTGGGCATTCAAACCTGGGTCTTCGGCGTGACGAGCCAACGCTTTAACCACTAGGCTACCCCACTGCCCCCACAAGCTGCATTGGAGCACAGTTTGACATGAACACAGACTGCACAAACACACATTGCTGGAAATCTCAAGTTCCTCACAGACACACTCTTTGGAAATTCACATAGTCTCCATGGTGCTTGAAGATCATGTGGCTCTCGACACGTGGTCCACACAAACAAGATGGCACAGCTGCGACAGAAGACTTAGAGCTTATGAGCATGGATGGAAAAGTATTTTCCTTGAGGTAAATCCAGAATATCACCTCCTTCGATCATCATATGCTCTTTCATCTCGTCTCCTGTCATCTTGTTGGTATCTGTCACGATCACCTCGGAATCGATCCTCAGAGTTATCTCCCCTTCTTTGCCTGAAGTCGTCCCTCTCTCTGTCTCTCCAAACATCATCTCTCCTGTCACCCCTCCCTCTATCATATCTCTCATTTCTCCTATCTTGTGATCTGTTCATTCCATTTCTGAACCCAGAATCCCTATGGAAGTCCCCATCCCCATCTCTTTCAAAGCCCCCACGCCCATCTCGCCTTTCTCTTTCAAACGCCCCACCCCCATCTCGCCTGTCTCTTCCAAAGTCCAAACCCATATCTCGTCTGTCTCTCTCATAGCCCTCACCACCATCCCGCCTGTCTCTCTCAAAGCCCCCACCTCCATCTCGCCTATTTCTCTCAAAGCCACCACCCCTATCTCGTCCGTCTCTCTCAAAGCCACCACCCCTATCTCGCCTGTCTCTCTCAAAGCCCCCACCTCCATCTCGCCTATCTCTTTCAAAGCCACCACCCCTATCTCGGCCGTCTCTCTCAAAGGCTCCATCCCCATCTCTCCTGTCTCGCTCAAAGCTGTCCACTGGAGAGACTCTTTGTCGTTCCTGTTTGACAAACCCAGGATCAACCTTTTCTTTCTTTGTTCTGATTGGCTGACTCCTATCATGTGACCTCTCATCCTCACTACTTGAAGCCGATTCTGATGCAACCTTTTTCTTTTTCTTTTCTTTCTTTTTCTTCTTCTTTGATTTCTTATCTGGATCTTTAACTGGAACAAAATAATTTACAATAGCATAGCATATTGTTTGTTTGATTAATGATTACTATTATTAAAACACATTTTTTGTGATTTGATTTTGATTTGTCTACCAAAAGATGGTAGACACAAAGTGTGTCATAATTTACCACTGCATGTTTTGATAATTACTTTTTCACCTGGTACGCCATACAGTCAGAATATATACTGCCATCACAATTTCAACAAGCTACCTGTTCTCAATAATTTCATCACAGATGAACATAGCTTGGTAATAAATTCAGGCTACCTTTCTTGGCTTTCTTAACAACAACTGGTTCCTCTTCCGATGATGATGATGGCTGGATCTTTGGGGCACATCCCTCTTCCCTCAGCCTCTTTGTGACTTCATCCTCATCTCCATGTTCTTTGGGGATCTTGTAGTTCTCAACATGGTCCACACGAATGACACGCCCCAGGAGCTGCAGCACACAAGAGCATAAATAAGGTAATTATTTATAGTATGATTGGTTGGTTGGTTGGTTGTTTAGCACCACACTCAGCAACATTCCAGCTTCATGTAGGCAATCTGTAAATAATTGAGTCTGGACCATGTGATCAACAGCATGAGCATCAATCTACACAACTGGGATACGATAACGTGTCAACTAAGTCAGTGATACTGTTAGATGCCTTTTACGACAAGCATGGGTTGCTGAAGACCAATTCTAACCCGGACCTTCACTGGTGGGCTCTTGATGGACCTGAATCACACCTGCCAATACCATGGTGCCGAGTTTCGCTTTCAGTATGGGCCATAGGGGCACCAGTGCTCTACATTCTGTGCCACATGAAGATCCTGGCTGGAATTGGCAACCCATGTTTGTCATAACAGGAGACTTATATGATTGGTTAGTCAGATTTGATGACATGGTTGGTGCATGTCATTATGTCCCAATATGCGTGGATTGATGCTCATGATTTCAATCTCTGGATTTTCTATTCATAAGTTGATTAATTACAGGCAACTGCCCTATAACTGCAATATTGCTGAGGCTGGGCAGAAACAATAAACAAAAACCTGCATGCTGTTCTGAACAGTGACATTGTTGGGTTGTGTACATGGCCAAACAACCTTGACCTTTACCTTAATGCTGTTGAGGTTGTCTACAGCCAGTACGGTGCTGCGCTGATCCTCGTAACAGAGGAAACCATAGCCCTTGGACTTGCCGGTTCCCTTGTCTCGCACCAGGTTTATGTTGACAATTTCTCCATACCTGAAAGAAGAACATATACTGATCAGCGCAGAGCCCTGCCCTATTTATTTGGCATCTTGTCCTTTTAATTTGCGACCCTGCCCCTTCTTTTTAATACAATCAGGGCTCCAGATAAGGGCCGTATTGGCGTATGTATGGATATAAGATAAGCACGATATGGAAGGAAATAATTTAGAAAACATAGCAGATACGCACCACAGCAATGGTGTATGGTCTTAGAATAATTTACAGACGTATTTATCTGAAAACGTATTGCTTTATTGTTCATTGACCTGTTTACACAAGAGCAGCAATGTTGTGGTGCATATATGAAACGAAACACAAGACTACTGACACTCCATTAAATTCCATTCAGTACCCTAAATGTACTCTTTTTGTTTTCCAGTACTCCTATATTGAAAAAATAAGGAGTACATACTCCTGATCATGAAAAATTATCTGGAGCCCTGAATACAATAATAGATATTAACACTTGAAGGTTATTAGTTTCTGTGTCATGTTGAAGTTAACTGACGGAATTCAGATATCACGATATACAAACACTACAGTAGATGTGTAACATCTCGCATATTGTTACTTTTGATCACTGTTATTATTAGGTAATGTTATTAGCAACGTGCAGTGAACATGGACAAAGTACTGAGACCAAGTGTCCCAGTCCCCCAGCTGTGAATGGGTACCTCGTTAGGATGAAAAAGCCACAATAACTCGGTGCGCCTAGTGGCTGCAAGAGTTGTATGATCCCCAGGGAGTTGAGACTGATAATGCTATGTGCCGTTGTGATTGACATCCAATGATCGAGGGTAAAAATACCAGCGCTTTGAGCATGCACTAGTGCATGGATATATGCGCTATATAAATATCCTATAATAATGAATAATAAAAGTAATAACATGAACATACGCTACTTAGAAGTTATCTGTAATAGCACTGAAGAGAACATAATCATTACGTCTACTACCCAACTGGTCCAAATGGAGTAAATATACAATGAATACCAAAAGAAAACTATCAAAACCAATGTCAATAATAATATAATGTGAGCAAGTACGCAGGTGATCAAAATATTATCTGGAGGTCTGGCTATGTGATTGAACTGAATCATCTTAGACACATTGCTTATTACATATCTGAAGCTAAGTTCAGTGTGATTTCTCTCAAGTTTCAGAGTCATCCAGTTGATGCAATCACTTTCAAATGAGGAGCGGCAGAGTAGCCTTGTGCTTAAAACGTTTGCTTGTCATGTCAATGGCCTTAGTTCCACTCCCGAAATGGTTACATGATGTGCAGTGAATTTTTGGTGTCCCCTCCATGATTTTGCTGGAATACTGCTGGAAGAGGTGTATGACCATATTCATTCACTACTAAATGTCCCTTCTAGGCATTACAGAAAGCTAACATGTAATATCATGAAAGAACTAATGGCTTTTACTCACTGGGAGAAGACACAGATTATGTCTCCCTCTGTGAGCTCGTAGGGAAGTCCACCAATAAAGAGCCATGCACTATCTTTATACTGGTCGTGCCATGATTTCTTGCCAACAGTACCAAGTTGAAGCTCAGTCTGGTTCAACTTCTGGATGTTGCGGACATTTCTGTGAACAGACAATCAAAAGAATACTAAAAATAACATCAAACAGACATGTTATAATAAAATATGTATTTTCATCATGAACCTAACAATCAAACACCCTACATTAAATTTTTTTACTGTCTGGATGTACTTAGGGAAGACAAAACATCACGGTCTTATTTTCTAATTTCACAAAATATATGATTTCTAAGAAAACAAAATAACAACCACAAAGTATATCAAGTTGATATCATGAATAATTAGTTCTGCAACAAAGATGAAATGCCTCCAACCCTAGTTTTGAAAAATGTGGATGAAATATGGTTTTTCATTTTACTATTATGAATAACAGTGTTACATATCGACTTATGATATTGTCTTGTTTGTGAAGGTGAATGTGGGTGAATGTGTTTCACATGGCACTGATCAGTTTTCCAGTTACATTGTGGTGTGACATCTTGATTTGAGAAAAGTCAGCAGTCTCATCAGCTTGGGTATAGTGCTGACAAGCCTTGTTACAGATCACTGGATTATATGTTTTCAGACAGCAGTGTTTATTCTCTCTACAATGCTTTTGGTTGAGTCACCCAGACATTGTGTTTATGATAGAGTAGTTCATATAAATAAACTCATATTCCAGCCAAGGCCTACATCGATGCCGGGCACACCTTGGTATAGTACTAAGTCGTCTAGTTATATGCTGGACTAATTATATCGATGTCTCTTATAATTTGGTGATATGTTTTGCACATGTTTATGTGATAATCAACAACCAATTATTTTGAGTGTACTCAAAACATATTTTGGGAGTACTTCACTTTACCGGGCACATCGTTTCAGATTAATTAGCGCTGCTGGGACTTGAACGTGCTTCGCCGGATTACTGACTTTGTTAATTAGCGACGTAATTAGTGGACACTCTACCTAGGGGCCACGAGCACCATCGCAGTTAATGAGTGCTCATTTTAACGCGTCATTTGCACTTATTCATTAACCTGAAGCGAGAAATGAAAACAAACCACTGCACAAGTGCAATGGTTTGTTTACATTTCTCGCACTTCCACCCCACTGTGCCACACCCTTCCAATTCATTTTTTTTTTTCACGACATTATTTCTTGGTCTGTACTGACGAGTACTGGATGGATCGAAATGTGTTTCAATTGGATATAACAGGGTTATACTACCCTAAGGTAAGGTTTAACCCTAAATAAGGATTGGAAAGGGTCCCTAACCAAAAGGAATCAGAAAGGTTCCAGAACCCTACCCCTCTCCCAAACCTAACCCTAAGGATCGGAAACGTTGCCATACCCTAACCCTACACCAAAGGATCGGAAAGGGTGCTAACTCTAACCCCTAAGGTTCGTATAGGGTGCCTAACCCTAACCCTAAGGATTGCAAAGGGTGCCTAATCCTAAACCTAAGGATCGTAGAGTGTGCCATACCCTAAGGATTGTAAAGGGTGCCTAACCCTAACCCTAAGGATCGAACCCTGGGTTGTTTGACTCTAACTGTCTAAAGATGCGTCAGAGCCCTAAAGATCGGAACACTAAGGATGGTTGACTGGCATGTGAAGGGAGACGGAGCAATTACCGCGATATAGCGAGACAGCGCTGGTAAAGTGCATTCTACTTCTAGACAACGTTGTGATCGAAAACCGCACAATAAGCCCCTTGGATTAGAATCCGTATTATAGAAAACAAACAGAATCATGTGTCATTATGCCATAGATTCTGCCTCAACCAAACTCACGTCAATGGATTCATTACTTATCAAAGAAAGTAACTGAGCCACGCAACGACTTTGACGACACAAAACGATAAGTTCTGGCTGAAGTCTTGTGCCGCAAAAGAAATATTTCCGGTGGTAATGAGGTAAAACATAGACTCTGATCACAATTCATGCATATATAATATATTATCTATCGATATTGGAAGTTGTCCAAGTTTACAATAATCAGGATTTTCCTTTTCCTTTACATGTGTCAGTTGGCTGTGACAATGGAAGTCGTAATAATATTTCGCGGTCTATTCAGTAACAGCTTTGGTAAGTTACCTCCCTTGGAAACTTTAGCGAGAAACTTGGTTCCAAAATAAAAGGTAAGAATTTCACCGAAACGGCACCGATGTCCATTGTTAGACCATGGTAAAGAGTCAGTGACATGTGGGTATTCAGATAGATGGCGAACAATGACTGACATCTTTTGCATGTTGTTTAGAGTTGTATGAGGTGGGTAGTTTCAAATCTGACATTTGGGCGCCGTCACATGATCATGATGAGCTGATAACATAAGTAGTATTATGATGATGAACACATTATCTCCTGTGAGAACGGTTGATAGTATAACTACGCTGTCACCTTAGGAAAAAGTCAATAGGTGATTAAAGTGGTATGTATGCTACGATCATCTTGACTGTTTGCGTCATTTGAGAAATCTTTTGTGTTCTGGGTTGTATTTGGCCCCTAATAAATTCAACCATGAACCGCAAATGATTCAACCCTCCCCATCCACATGTCATTCTTTGCATGGACATACTTGCATGAGTAATTCATATGCAAAAAAGTCATGCCAAAATACCTGACATTACCTAAAATTACGTAACAAACGTTTTCTATTTGGCATAGAAACATATCAAAACTTGCAACCAATGAAAATATGTATTTCGTTACGAAGTGACACCTCTAATCATATGCCTCCTTGTTACAAAAAAAACAACTTTTGTTGTGGTAAATGACAAAAGTGTCAATAATCTGCAAACTGTTAATGATAAATATTATTCAATATGAACATTTGTGCCTACAAATAAGTTCACTGCAGTTTGTCCATGAGGTCACTGTGAATTGCTTCATTAGTTTGGGAGTATGTTTTGTTTGTTTGATGTTTAACAACACACTCAGCAATATTCCAGCTATGTAATTAATCACGCCTGGACCCGACAATCAGACAAATGATCAACAGCATGAGCATCAATTTGTGCAATCAGGATAAATTAACCTGTGTGAATTAAGTCAGCAAGCCTGACCACCCAATGCTGTTAGTTGCCTCTTACGCCAAGCATGGATTGCTGAACACAAATACTAACCCAGATGTTCATGGGTATTGGTAGTCCCTCTGAGTACACCACATCCCATCATAGCTAACCCCAAACCAGTTCTTCATTGTTGGAAACTTCAAGTTATTTGTAATGTTTGTAATAATTCAGTTGCAGGTTTTACAGACTAGGGAAGGGGCGAATTTCTAAAGCTTTGCAACCATGGGTACCTTTGACAAGCAGATGTCAGAGCCATCCAATCAAAAGTCACTGGATGTTTACATGCATGGAATCGACAGACTTACTGAACCGCAGGCAGATCAGGAGTATAGCATTCAAGGTATATTAATCTTTTGAAGTTGAAGAAAGAGATTCAATAAATGGTTGAGTGAGTTTAGTTTTATGCTGCACTCCGCAATATTCCAACTACTTGGCAGCGGTCTGTAAATAATCGAGTCTCGACCAGACAATACAGTGATCAACAGCATGAGCATCGAATTATGCAGTTGGGATACAATGATATGTGTCAACCAAGTCAGTGAGCCTGACCACCCGATCCTGTTGGTCGCCTCTTACGACAAGCATGGGTTACTCACTTACTGTAGATCAATTTTAACCCGGATCTTCACAGGTCAGACTGAATTTAAAGATCACTCCCACATACTAATGTGCAGTCAAACACTTGTGTCAAAGTTGCAGAGTCTAATGTAAATACTTTGAGTTCAACACAACCAGAAAATGATTGCTGCAGAAGGAATATGCACCAACCAAGCTTATATAGTCTTCAAAGAAAGTAGAGGAACTTCATTTTTAATTTACGATTGATAAAATTGAGAAATATATTGGAATTTGGAGTTAATCTTTGTTAATATGATAATAATGAAATGTTTTGACCAATTGCACTTCCTTATGACCATAGTTGTTTGTACAGTAATCGCTCTTGAAAGATGATTGGTGTATGACGTAAAATTTGCATGAGTACAAATTTTATTATCAAACAGAAAAATACCCGGCTGGAAACAAACACTGACAGTTCAGGTTTCCATACTCTACTGAATAGTACCGTATTTCCTCTAATAAGCGCCAGGACTCCAATAGGCACCAGGCCTCTAATAAGCGCCGAGGATAAAGCAGCTCACTGACAATTATGGTAATTAGACCCAGTAAGCGCAAAAGCGCTGGGCCTCTAATAAGTGCCGGATCTGGAACTCCTTTGAAAAAAAAGGTCTGGGCGCTTATTACGGTATATTTTGAGACAACTGTGTGTTTGGCACAAGAAAGAATGAAATACAAATGCCAAAATGAGGATGTTGTAGTTGAACAATTATATTCTCACTAAGAGGACATTATGCAGAATGTCAGTTCAATACCAGTATATTTGGATTATGTATTCAGCAACATCTGTACGTACATCCCGATTCTTGTTAACGAGATATCTCATGAACTGTTGTACCCAATGTCTTCAAATTTGGTGACAGCCTACATTGGGGGATTACGCAGACACGAGTTGATTTGGATGACCTTGACCTTATCATCAAAGTCACCATGACACTTTGACCACTTTTGAAACTCTTGTTAACGCGATATCTCATGCACTGTTGTACCCAATGTCTTCAAATTTGGTGACAGCCTACATTGGGGTTTATGAAGACACCAGGTGATTTGGGTAACCTTGACCTTATCTTCAAGGTCACCACGACACTTTGACCACATTTTAAACTTATGTAGACGCGATATCTCTCAACTTATGTCTTCAAATCTGGTGACAGCCTACGATATCTCATTTTGGTGACCTTGACTTATCTTCAAGGCACCCAATGTCTTCATAAAAAAATTAATGTCTTCGACAGCCTACATTGGGTGATTATGCAGACACAAGTAATTTCAGGCATCTTGTATGTGACCCAAAAATAAAAAGTAAAAAATATGTGATAAATATTTCATTCTTCTTTAGTGGCGGGGGACATTGCCATATTAGTGGCAAACACTTGTTTAATGCATGATACTTGCCTGTGTCATGCTAGTTTAGTTGACAAGGTGGAAGCAAGAACTATGATCTGATTATAATGAGACAGAACAAACCCAAAAATGTGAAGTTAGATATTGTATTTCCTTGGTGTATCAGGACCGCCTCCGCTGTGTAGTGGTTATAGCGTCCGCCCGGAGAGCGGAAGGTCGCGGGTTCGATCCCCGATGGTGCATACCAAAAGACGTTAAAATATGGTACTTGTTGGTCCCTGCCTGGCGCTCGGCATTAATGGGTACAACGAGGACTGGTCTGCTCGGAGTCAGAATAATGTGTCTGAGTGGGGTATTCATGCTTCACTGCGGCATGGTATCTCAGTGGGCTAGCACTATAATACCAGCTTAAGTCTGGGCTAGTACAAGCAGCCGCACATACACATACACACGCATGCACGTCGTCATAAAAGCGAAATATTCTCAAGTACAACGTTAAACCCAATTTCACCTCACCTCACCTCACCTTCGTGTATCGAGTCATTGTCAATGTTCTCATCTTAACATGATGACTTTGGAATAAAAATCAAATACCTTGTTTGAGTGGCATTTTAGAAGTTGTGACTTACAATATAGAACAGACTTTATGGATGACAACTATTTCGTGAGTGCGATCTTTCGATACAGATTCCTGCCTGACAACGGTACAAGAATCTGTATTGAAACGTCACACTCGCGAAATAAAGAAGTTGTTGAAGTGTTCCACTTCATCATACCAGCTTCTAAATGCCACCTAAGGAAGTTAAAATGAAGTTGTTATCTATAAAGTCTGTTCTATAAAATCAAATACAACTGGTACCAGGGATACATTTGGATTAAAAGAAACTTATATTTCACTAAAAATATAAAATGCCCTCACCCTGTTGAACACTATGATGGTTTTACTCCTGTTTGAGATGTAGTTGCTTAGGTTGGCACAATCCTGACAGTATGTTTCTCTTGCAGACATCACACGGCGTCACTGGAAGCTGTGGGATGGCAAGACAGTCTGCAGCAACAGAAGCTGCCGCAAGCCCTTCTCACTACTGGATAGAGTCCATCACTGCAGGAGGTACACCCCAAACTACGCCGTTCTTTTCATTTTGCTGATTTGGGAGGGTCTTTTTAGGAAATCACATCCAACAGAGGAACTTCCACATTAAGCACCCTCCCGTACTCATATCAGTAATAACTTTCTGTCAAGTCAATGTAGAAGGCAGTCTTCAAACATCTTTAATTTTTGTTTTATTATCATATTGTTACTGATTTCTGATTTTTGTGAGAGTTGACTGACTTGTTTAAATGGGTTGTGTGTAAACAAACTTGATAGGTTACTACTTACCATAAAACCCCGTGAAGGTCCGGGTTAGAATGAACCTTCAGTAGCCCATGCTTGTCGTAAGAGGCGACTAACGGGATCGGGTGGTCAGGCTCGCTGACTTGGTTGACACATGTCATCGGTTCCCAATTGCGCAGATGGATGGTCATCCTGTTGATCACTGGATTGTCTGATCCAGACTCGATTATTTACAGACCGCTGCCATAAAGCGCGGTGGCGAGTGGTGGTGCGAGCTGTCTAAGGCGCCAGACTAGTAATCCAGTGAGCTTGGACTAAGTTGGAGGTGCCGGGATTGAGCCCACCTGTGACCGGGTGTAAAAAACCTTGGAGTCAACTTTGTGTGCAGACTCTTTCAGTGTTGTCACAACCCCTAGTGTACAGTACACAACCTTGTGCACTTAAAAGAACCCACAAATCTGTTGGTAGATGACCACATGGTGGCCACATGAATACGTGCAAACACCTAGTTGCAGTAAACTTGGACAAAGTGCTGTGACTATGTGTCCCAGTCCTACCAGCTGTGAATGGGTACCTCATAAGGATGGGAAAGCCACATTAACTCGGTGCGCCTATTAGGCAGCAAGAGTTGTATGATCCCCAGGGAGTTGAGATTGAAACTACGATGTGCCGTTGTGAAGGACATCCAATGATCGAGGGAAAACAAAGCGCCTTTGAGCAGGTGTACTGGATATCGGTGCTATACGAATGTTTGTATGTATGTATATAGCTGGAATATTGCTAAGTGCGGCGTAAAACTAAACACATTCACTCACATACCATAATAATCACTGGTTTGTTGTTCTCCATCCTTTATCTGTGGCCCAAATAGACTATTGCCAAACAACTTACATAAGCTTGGGTTGGGGACAGTACTGCTGCCACATTGTAATGTTATCATGTCTTTTGTTTTGCAGGTGTGGAAATATTTTTTGCAGCAGCTGTGTAAAGTTCCGTCGTAAATTAAATAAACTTGCCAACCCTGACCCAGATGGTCGATCTTATAAGGTAAATATAGATCTAAATTTGTTTGGGTATAGTTCATATGAGGTAAAATGGAACTAAATTTGTTTGGTATAGTTCATATAAGTATATGTGGAACTAAACTTGTTTGTGTATAGTTCATATGAGATAAATATGACTCGAAACCTGTTTGGTGTACTGTATAGTTCATATTATGCATATGTAGAATCTAAACTAGATTCCAAACACAGCATATATGTTATGGCTCTGATAACAGCAATCTCAAAATTAGTTTGCATAGTCGGGGATTCTTTTTTCTTTTTTGTACAATTATAGTATCACAGTATGCCATTTTGTCATTGAATAACCTAGGAAAATATTTGTTGTGGATGAAAGTCTCTGTAGATTTTGATTTAAACCATAAAGATAATCACAAAAACTTCATATATGTCCTTTACCCAATATACCGGTTCTCAGAAAAAATATTGCAATACGTATCGTTAGAAAAGCGTATTGCGATATACTGGTAATACCGTGCAGTCCTATATGATATTAATCATGACTGGACCAGACAATCAAGTGATTGATATCATGAGCATATATCTATATATTGAGATAAGATGACATGCATCATCAAAGTCAGCAAGTTCGACCACCCCAGAGTTAATGTCACCCCATACGACCTGCATGAGGTGCTCATCACCATTTATCTTACCTCACACATAAAAGTTGCTTTCTGATTGGCTGAGCGCGCTTCTATTATTTTCAATGTACCCCGCTTACAAGCGAGTAACATTTCAATGGACCCGCTGTCAATGGCAACTCATTTGGTACTTCGTGGTAGTAATCCTTTGGCTTTATCTCGAATAACATTGAATCACGTATGATGTACGGAAATTACCGATGTTTTGCGAATGCAAATCGATGGAAGGGAGATAACTCTAAATCTGTTTTTCTTGTCAGCAAAATCTAGCGACGGCTTCAAAAAGATTTGTACCCGTGCTTCAAACAATTCAAAATTAACATTAAGGTGTTCGGTAAGATAAATACGTTGTTCACTGGTCCCTTGGGGCCCATGGGTTGATGTACCCTCGATGTTTGTTTACATCAACCCATGCCCCCCTCGTGACCAGTGAACAAGTTATATTGTAACCTTGACCTTCATGCGGATGACTGTAATGTGATTGTTGGTATATTTTTATCCAGGTTTGTCAGTCCTGCTATGCTGAGGGCCAGGAGACCGAGGGAAGGATGGTCTGTCTTACAGCCGAGTTCCGGGCACTCAGAATGTATAAGTATAAGAATTCATCAGCATTGAGAGGTCATTTATCCTCGTCACGGAGAGACAAATTCGATTTTGAAAAGGAGTGCAGACGGCTTATTGAAGGGTTCAAGGGGTCAATGGGGTCATCAGAGGTCAAGAGGACGTTGCATGAGCTGAGGAACATGGTGTCGATTCCAGAGTGGCAGAAGGCTAGCATGTGGATAGTAAGTAAAGAGTGATGCGTAATGGCGGAATTCTCAACAAGTTTTTGTGCAGGAATGTTTTGTTGGATGTAGCAATTTTTCATCATCTAAATATTTTTTGTAGGATAAGTGTTTGACCTGCAGTTGCTAAGCATGTAAACTTCCTAACTGGAAATAATATTTGATCTGAATCTATTTGAAACATGTTCAGAGTTTGAAATACCCCGTGTTAGGGGGCAGTCATTTGTTGTAAGGGAGTAGGGGGATAATGGATTTGGGTTTTGTGTCTAGAACATAATCGTTAAGCAAAAGAAAGTTGACCTCCAGAGCTTCTCACAACTGTAGAGAGTCAGGAAAGTGGTAGGGGTCAGTGGTCAGCTAGTATTATACAGTCGCAGACCAATCACTCTCACAGACCTCTAAATAATATATGACTAGTCTCTTAGGTAAAATCATATTGAAGTAGTGAGTGAGTGAGTTTACTTTTATCCCAGTAATATTCCAGCAATATCACAGTGGGTGACACCAGAAATGGGCTTCACACATTGTGCCCATGTAGGATTCGAACTCTGGTGTTCGGCGTGACGAGCGAACACTTTAGCCACACGGCTACCCAACCGCCCCCATATTGAAGTAGGTAACTCTTGTGTTTTTTTTGGTTTTTTCACTCAGTCATGGACACATGTAATTCACTTAAATATGATTTGCAAATATCTGGTACATGAGCATATGAACATTTGATCGCATGATTTACAATCTGAACCTAGGGATTCAGAAATCTATAAAATCTTTTTCAATTTCAGTGAAAAGGAAAGGGATGTCCAATAAATTGCAACTGCTGGTTATTTAACTGATGGTGGAATGACCATCACAGTTCAGTTCATAAAGATGAGCAGTAACACGTGTTGTATTTGGGATACACTTTCTCAGTAAATGAGCAGTATTCTTTCTTATGAGCACTTCTAATTCCCGAGGGCACACTTGAAAATGGCTTATTGAGTGCCCTGTAGCACATTTGAAGTAAAAAATGTTTCACTCTTTGATGTGTCTGTGGGCATCATTACAACATGATTCAAATGTTATATGTCTTCCAAAACTAGCTTGATGAGATGAAGCGATATCTCCATCAGATTGCCTCACAATGTTTGCTTACCATTGTGACTTTACAATCAAATGCCATGAACGACTCTGACACCATTTTGGATCTTATTAAAGCAGCTCTTCAGTTTGTATACCTTTGTGTAGGTAGGCATTCAGATCAGACTGTTTTACATTTTTTTGTTTAAAAAATATCAAAGAATTGCAAAATCACATAAAGAAAGACACTGTAGACCTATCAGGTTAAACACCCAACATTACCTTTTAATATATCTTGTATCTGCGGACAAAACCAAAGGAGTAAATCCTTTTATAATATACTTATACCTCCAGTTGAAACTGGACCAACAAGCCAAAAAAAATGGGAACACATCCTCAATAAACAATATAACAAAGAAGACTGGTCTAATATATATTTAATGGCAAATAGATGTACAGAAAGCGTACAGTTAAGATGGTTTCATTTCAAGATTACGCACAATATTTTAACGACTAAACATAAGTTACATTTGATGAAATACACAGACTCTTCAATGTGCACATTCTGTGAATCTGCTCCTGAAACAATTATTCATTTATTGTGTGAATGTCGATATACCATGAAAGTATGGAGGGAGGTATCCGATTGGCTGGATATACTGTCTGAAGGAAATATTGATTTGTCGCGATGAAAATATTATCTTTGGTTTCAAAGGTAAAACAACAACCCACTTAATCTGGTGTTTCTAATAGTGAAATACATGCTATATAAAACAAGCGAAATAAAATAATATAAAGCCAGTTTTACAGTGCTTCAAAGGAAATACTCAATTATTACAAAGCTACCAAATATACAGCATTTTCAAATGCAAACCCATCAAAATTCTATGCCTTCTGGTCTTCCTTCCATACACTTTTTGCCAATTATACCAACCTAGATGTCATATAAGTACAATAAAATTTGATAAGAGCATTTGAATACAAGTACTGGTATACATATTAGCCTTTGTTAAGGATAACAGATACATTATAGCAATTTACCCTGAACATACGATGATTGCTTTTGTATTGATGTATTGATTGATTGTACTGATGGTGATGTTTTCGCTCAACGTCTGATGACGAGGATGTGTTGTATATGATGCTTTTGTACCACAACAACAAATGTACTCTGGGAAATAAAAATATTTAAAAAAAAGAAAAAAAAAAAAAGAAAGACACTGTAAAGTTCTTTTATTATATTTGTATTGATTTATTTTTGAAAATGAGAACAGTAATGTTGACTTAGACAGGGAACAATGTAACAAAATCTGACAAAAAAAGTTGGCTAATTTCATCTGCACTATTTAAGACATCTCATAATCTTGACACAAACTGTAAATCATGGTAAATTAATCAGCAAAACAATAAGTCATTCTCGAACCTTTATGACACCATAATGACATTCTTAAGGGCATGAACAAAGTGTCACAACATTGGTGGTTAGAGGGCAAATGTTAGATTCTTGTAATGACCGGTTCTCATGTGGCAGTGATTGTACCAGCAGTGTCAGACTGTAGGAAGAATTCTCTTTGAATGTCAAGAAGAAATCGGAGAAAGTGCCAAATATATTTTTTTAAGATATAGTGTGTTTGAATGAAATGCTTTGAATGTTTTAAAGAAATAGTGGAATTGTAAAGTATTTTCTCCACAGCAAGAGAACCTGAGTGATTGCTGTCACATGTGTCGCAGCACATTCGGATTTCTGCGTAAGAAGCTGTTTTGTCGTGTGTGCGGGTTGGTGCTGTGTAAGGGATGCTCGGCCAAGGACCTGTTGGTCTACTTCCCCGACGTGGAGCCTGGCGAACAAAGACCCGCTGACCCCAGACTTGCCATCATCAAAATCATTGGGGTAGGATTAGCTGTAGTACCAGGGATATCTTGAGTTTTTTCACAGAGTGATATTCAGAACTATTTTCCATTAGGAATTGTACCTGATACAGTTTGTACAGAAAGTACTTTTGTTGATTCCATGTTTATTGCATGAAATGACTAGTTTTTATCTTGCTAAAGAACAAAGATTGAATGATGTCCAAGTGATTTTTGTTAATAGAACATCTATGTAAGTGTGATGTCACTATGAATATAATTATTATGATTTTCCTGAGAACTAATGCCCACTCCAATCCCCTAGTGTCCGGAGGTGGAGCCCGAGGTGAGTCTATACCTACGAGCCTGTCCGACATGTCGAGCAGATCATAGAACGGCAGATCTCCCAGCTGGAGGCTGCCATGGACGATGACCCGAAGTTCAGAACTGATGCGCGCAGTTGACCAGCATCAATGCCAACTTCCACAAAACTGAGATGAAGGTCAAGACGCATCTTCCAGAGGTCAGTGTTTATCAGGCTGAAATGAAAATACTATTTGCCTGTTTACTGTGATTTACACAAGACTGCATCAGTGGTCTATATGTTTGTAAATGTTGTGATATGTGATAATTGTGTTGTACCAGGAGTTATTGGACTTTCTTGCAGGTAACAGGCAGGGTTCTAGTAATATGTGTGTTATTATTGTATTGTAGTACCAGGAGATAATGGAATCCTTGGAAGATAACAGCCAGGGTTTTAGTAATATCTGTGTTATAATTTTGTTGAAGTACCAGGAGATAATGAACTCTTTGGAAGATAACAGGCAGCATTCGAATTGATATCATTTGAGTGATTAATCAAATTCAACAAAGCGGTACAAATCAGCTGCTTTCGAACCAGCGCCGATTGTGTCGCAGAAAAGGAGAGCCTGTTCTAGTTATTCAAGTTGGATGTGGCGGCCAATCAAAATGCATTTTGGTGTCACGTGGTAAATGTTTACATACAAGCACGAAACATGGCTTCGTCTGCTTCAAAGACACTGCATTGATTTTCACGGAGGAGGAACGGAGTGTTTCATGACTCATCATCTGAGTTAGAAACACTATGGAATATCACAATGGAGAATCCATTCTTTGTCCAACAACTTCTTTTTCTTCTCTTTGGCATTGCCGTCTTCTTCACATAGTATTGCACAGCAGATAACTGCCACTAAGTCTGCTTCAGACGTTTTGATACCATGGAAACAAATTACCGTGAGATTGTATGAAATCATCACTAATATTGGAAGATCGAATCGTGCGAGGGGTAGAAAATTGATCGATATTCAATACAACCACTGAACATGTTGTACAATGTATGGAAATCGGCAGGTCATTACGAAGTGCCGATCCATGTGAGTCGCGCTTAAGCGTCTTAGTTATATGCATGTTATCACTGTGTTCCAGTACCAGGAAATTGTGGACTCCTTGGAAGATAACAGTCGCGGATCATCTGGGTCAGGATCTGGGCTTCCCAAGAGTAACATGAAGACACTGGCCAAAGCACAGGTTGGTGTGATAATAACAATAGTTGTAAGAGTTATATATGTAATCATACATTGCATCCATGCTAAAATTGCATCCCATTATTATCTCAATCAACATATCAGTGTGCATTCCATTGTCTCGAATCCTTGAGATGCAACCAAAGGGGATGCTTTGTCTTTAAACTGGACCAGTCCTTGTTTCATGCTCTTGATGCCGACCTCAAGGAAGGGTAACAATTAGGGCTTCCACGGGTACTCGAGTACTCGAGGACGAGTCGGGTTTAGCTGGACTCGAGTCCATTTTCAAGGATTCGAGGACTCGAAAAGGGGAGATAACTCGAATTATTTGACGTTGACAGACTGTCTGCCATGTGCTATGCATGAGCGGCCGTTAACGTCTAATATTAAGATAAGATATAACTTTATTATCCCGGAGGAAATTCTAATACATCCAAACTGTCTCAAAATGAATATATACACAGTTCACAAAAATATACACAATAATTACATGCTCAAAACGAATACTATTTACAAATAAAACTGACATGATATAATTCAATTAACTACATAAGTAAAGAGCCTGAATAATTCTAGTTCTAATCACATGATGGTGATTCAAAATATTTGTTGCATTCACGAATACTTGATGGTATGAAAGACTGTCGAGCTCTGTTTGTTTTGAGGGTAGGTAACGAATACAGCGTCCAGAAGGAAGTAGTTCAAAATGGTGAGATCAAATATATCAACTATCAAATCTAATTTTAGCTGCCTTTTTGACAATCTGGCGCTCATAGATGAAGGGAATATACTCGAAAGACACTCCAGAAATTTTGCAAGCAGTATTAACAATTTTGAAAAGTTTGCTTTTGTTGCGATGAGACAGACTCCCATACCAACATAGAAAATTGTAGGTCAACACACTTTAAATAAAGGTTTGATAAAAAAAACTGTCATTACGGTTTTGTCAATGCCTTGACGGTAATAATGTTCAGAATCAGAAATTAGGCCAGTAACAGTGGCGTCATCTGCAAATTTCACAGTAAACAAGTCACATATTGACAAGTAACAGTCATTGGTATACAAAACAAAGAGTACGGATGAAGGAACACATCCATGTGGATCTCCAGTATAGTTTGAGAGAAAAGAAGATTGATAGCCATTTACACTGACATACTGAGTTCTATGTACCCTGAATTCTTTAACCCATCTGATAATGTTTTTATTAACAACTAGATTAAATAGTTTACTCCTCACAAGGTGTGGCTGTATGGTATTAGTTGTTACAAGTCTGCAGATGAGAGTAAATATACTGAGTCAAAAAAGAAACTTCACATTCTTTCTTCAGGGCACTTTAAAAGAACAAGAGATGGTAAGATGGTTAAATTGTTATTATTTCATTGCTGAGATCTGTGTGATGTACTCGATACACTGACAGTGCCATAATCAGTTCCATTAGGCTACACCGCCGTATCAAAACATGGGTATACAGAATGTTAAGTCACAAGAATAAAAATGCGAAATTTCTCAGTTCAATATCGTATCGCCCCGCCGCATTCACCACTGCCAAACACCGTCTCCTCATCGACTGCCTGATGCTTGTGAACACGTGGTTGGGGATTCTGTGCCATTGCTCTTGCAAGGCAGCCAAGTTCCTGCAAATTCTGAGGTTGGTTTCTAAGACCACGAAGCCTTCTCCCAAGTGCATCCCAAACGCGTGCTCTATTGGGTTATGGTCAGGTGACCTCGATGGCCAGTCCATGACGTTGATTCCAGCGCTTTGAGGGAAATTTCGTGTCAACATCGCGGTATGCGTCGACGAGCATTATCATGCTGGAACTGTAGACCTGGGCCATGAGAGCCATGAAAGGCGAAGTTCAGGGGTGAGCACCTGGTCGCGGTAAGCAGCAGCTGTGAGGTTTCCACGGATGACCAGAAGTCGGGAACAGTTGTTCCCACAGAAAGCACCCCCACACCATGCAACTTCGCTCCGCCAATCTGTCGAACTTCCTGTACACAACATTGGGCACACCGCTCACGCACGCCGTCTCCAGACTCTATGCCTGCCGTCCGCGAATCTGAGGGTAAACCTGGATTCATCGCTAAAGATCGACTTCGATTTCAGTCTCTGGGTCCATCGGAGGTGACGTTGGGCCCACAGCAGGCGTTGATGAAAACGGCCAATATTGGCCCACCGATATGGGGATCGAGAATGGAAAATTGGCAGCCCATAACCCGATTTGAATGGTCTGTGAGGACAGTCGACCTCTAAACATCTCAGCCCTGGTTCGTAGTAGCCGGCAGAAATCTGTCCGCGTAGGTGACGAGGGGCGATTTGGCCCGGTCTTCTGCTCAAATGGCGCCACCGTGGACGACCCGACCTTAGGCGCATCAGAAGTGGTGCCAGTTTGTTGTAGACGACTTCGCAAGTCATACACAGTACGGCGGCTGCATCCCATTGCTCTTGCGGCGTCAATAACTGATCTTCCCACTTGCAACATGCCAACGCACGTTCACGTTGCACATTTGACAATCGTTGCATTTCAAGTACCGTTAGAACTGTGGTTTAAAAGTGTTTTTTCAATTCTTGAGGCCGATGCAAAACGCGTGCAAATGAACAAAACTTCGATGCAAAGATCACGTGATCGACTGCTGCACGCAAAACCTGATTTGGCACTAACGCCATTTACTGACGAATAGATGGGTTTGAGTGGGTTTTGCTAACGTTTTTCTAGAGTCGAAAGATAGGGATCCCATTTCGGATACATAGATGTATTATCAGAGACAAATTATTTATTATTTTCAAATTACATTTTGTGAAGTTTCTTTTTTGACTCAGTATATTATACATGGTTTGAGATTTCACTTCTTAAAATGATTAGGTAACTATCTTGACAATTGATAGACATGGAGAAAGATAAAAAATCAAATGTATGGGCGTATCTTGATCTGGATAGTGAAAAGAGCAAAATAACCAAATGCACTACCAATGCGGTATATCACTGCGTTTTGCAGGCAGTACAAGAAGTACGAAGAAAATAACATTTGTCAAGTAAACATCCAAATACTGATTCTGCAGGGGAAATGTTAGTCACATGACGATATGAAGTCGGAAAGAAGTAAGTGTTCACTTGTGTGATCGGAACACGTCATGCAATTTACGCTATCGTTTGCTTGAAAGGTATGAATTTCGAGTACTCGGGTCCGATCTAGTCTTACCCCTCGAGTACTCGAGTCCAAAAAAATGGACTCGTTGAAGCCCTAGTAACAATAAGTACCATCTTTTAACATATCTTGGTAAAGCTGCCAGGGGTAGAACAACCACCATTCCATTGTCAGGGCAAACACTTAGACTATAAATATTTAGGAAATATCTATGATGTTAAAGAATTTGTTTTGTTTTCTTGTGAAAAATGAAATTTTTAAACTTATCTCATGACTTGCACCTCTCTCTCTTGCTTCGACTTTTAGTGGAACGACTGTAAACTTTTTTCCCTAGGCCTCCTTGTCCATTCGCCCGTGAACTCCATGCTGCTCTCCTTAATTAGCTTCCTAGTTCCTAATGAAGCTTGCAGCATGCTCCACTAATTGCCCATGTGACTACCTTGAATGATTATTCTCTTTCTTGTCGCACGACTGTGTGGACGTGCTGTATATTAGGGACATTATTTCACCCCTAACATCATGGGGAATACTGATAATCAGTGAAGGAAAAAGGAAATTTTGTACTCAATGCAAGACTAATTATTAGGCCCTCGACCCTCACTCGCCTTGCAGTGACTGTATTGGACAATGTAACTGGAACAAACGATGTGGCAAGTGTAATTCACTAAAAGATGAGGATTTTAAGGCCTACCAACCGTGTTTGCTCCCCGAGAATCACCGATAGGGACAGGAAATCAACAGAATCTGATCCCATTCCCACCAAGCCGTATCAAGTTACAGCGACAGAAAATCGTGACCTTCAACGCAAGAGAGCGACGTCTGTGGTTCAAGAGGATTTTATGGACGCTTCATCAGATTCTTACTTATCTGAGGACGTTCGGCAGCTCTTACGTACGCATCAATCACCTCCTTCTATAGCGTCAGATCACTCGCGGGTGGTTGTGATCGATAATTCATCGTTGCCTGTCCGATCTACACTACCAGGGGACCTTAGATGGACACTATCATCATCCAGATCATCGGTACATATCTCCTCAACTGTCTCAGTTTGTTTGGAGCCTGGCCAACCGTGTTCAACCAGCCAACTGTCCCCCAACAGTTCATTGAACCGGACGGAGCTGGCTACAACAGCTACGACGTTCATCATGAATTAACACTTCAGGTTTCATCACCTAATCGCCGATCCAGATCACCACATCATTCTAGATCACCTTCACGATCCAGATCACCATCACAAACCCGATCTAGATCATCGTTCCGATCAAGATCACCGGATCGATCCAGATCACAGTCACGATCCAGAGCACAACTACGATCCACATCACCTGATCAATCCAGATCACCTAACCGATCCAGAGCACAACTACGATCCACATCACCTGATCAATCCAGATCACCTAATCTATCCAGATCACCAAATGGGTCCAGATCACAACTTCGAATCAGATCACCGGACCGATCCAGATCACCTAGCCAATCCAGATCACCGAAAGGATCCAGATCACAACTTCGAATCAGATCACTGGACCGATCCAGATCACCGAGTGGATCCAGATCACAACTTCGAATCAGATCACCGGACCGATCTAGGTCACCTAACCGATCCAGATCACAACATCGAAGTAGATCGCCAGACCGATCCAGATCACCTAACTGATCCAGATCACAACATCAAAATAGATCACCTAACCGATCCAGATCACCAAATCAAGCCAGATTGCAACTGCAAACCAGATCACCTTATAGATCCAGATCACGATCAAAGTTTCCAGTTAGTGCATCGAATCGGTCCAGATCACTTTACAAATCCAGACCATCTTACCAACCCAGGTCACCTATACGATCTAGATCACCTTACAGAGCCACTGACCAATCGGGATCACAGTACAGATCCACATCTCATGGCCGATTCTATTCAGATGGTCGAACCAGAGCTCCAATCAGAACCAGATCACCAACTAGAACTACAGCGACCCAGATTACCGTATATGACCGTCTATAAGACGACCCCATGGATAAGACGACCCCCAAACTTGACCCTTAAAATCAGTGTCAAAATGGTATGTTTCGTGCATAAGTCGATCCCCCGCGATGGGGTCCTAATCGCGGCAAACACAGACCACAACAATAATTATAACTTTGGTCCACATTATTCAAAGAATTCAATGTCATATATATTGTGTCTACTCACGGATCGAAACGAAGTGTAGTTGACAGAAAATGGATAATATAGCTTCTCTAAATATCATATTTATTGTAGCAACAAACTGGCTTGCTTATTTTACCCCATTCAACAATCACGAACTGATTATCGCTTCATTTTCTATTGACTGCTAGTTTACAGTAACATCGGTAAAAATGTGTAAATGGCTTCCGTATTTTTACCCCATTCCATGTGCTTACCACGTTCATGAGGGTCCATTATAACCTTAGTGTTGATTATATATATTTTACATAAAACTGTAAATAAATTCTTTGGGTTAAATAATAGTATTCTGTATTATATTTTACTGACGAATCGTCAGAATTCGGCCCGTTATATTATTGTGCATGTTTGAACTTGTTCGGCGGGAACGCGTGTGCACAGCTGATTGCTATTTCGGCTTTGTGTAATGCAGAGACAAATACGCGACGGTAATCTTAATTAATTTATAGAGCAAAAACTGTAACTAAAATTACACAATGCTAGGATATATTTCTTTGAGTTAAATAATGGTATTCTGTATTATATTTTACTGACTTCGCGCCAGAATTAGATCCCGTTATATTATTGTGCATGTTTGAACTTGTTCGCTGGAAACGTGTGCACAGCTGATTGCTATTTCGGCTTTGTGTACGGAGACAAATACGCGCGGTAATCTTAATCCCTGCAAATAATACAATGCCCAGCAAAACAACTATAACTTAAAAGGTAAATAATCTTGTCAGTGATGTTTAATTGCAAATTTGACGCCTCTACTGACAAAGTCGTCTTCTGTTGTTTGTTCACCAGGGTGAGACAATGTTGTTTTCTTACCCCTGGAAAAGTTTGACGAAAAGCGTGAACCCATGGATAAGACGACCCCTTCTACAGACTGCTTTTGGGTCCTCAAAATTGCCTATAGGACGGTCATATATGGTAGTTCTTCATATCATACCGGATCACCTAGCCATACTAAGGAATCAGATCACCCGGCACAGACCTCCGCTCAAGTCGCTTCGATTTACAACACTCTACGTAGGCGGGAGATTACAGATCTTCGCCCGGGTGGACCATCCCTCAAGGATCCGTGCGTCACCAACCTGCTACTTCATGGCTATCAGCTACCCGTTATTGGCGGTCAACCTCTGGCGGGTGCATCCGCTCCATCGGCCATATCCAGTGGACCAGCTTCAGACTCTGCAAACCACTATAGGTGCCGCTATTAGACAAATTCGCGATAGAGCTCCTAGGTCCAGCCGGCCTCTCAGGGTTCTACTCCCCCATCTCCTTGGTTTTACCTGAATTACTAAGCCCATAGCGAGCTTCCTCCACTCTTCAAGGGATCACCGAGAAGCTACATAGACAATTGCATCCAGGCTCAACAGGATCCGATCAGATTGCTTAGCCAGCTACAGTTCACCTGCGCTGCCTCGCTGTGACAGTTAGGGTGGCTGTTCTGAACATCATGGAATCGAACTAATACCGACTCAGAGTCAGAGACTCCAATTCATCGGAGCACTGTTCGAAACTTGTCCGAAGGGGATGATGTTAGATCCCTCCGACAGGTGGATAAAGATTCAGCGATGCATTCCTCAGCACTGTCTCAGGGGAGAACCTAACAACAGTGGCAGGAGCTACTGGGCCTTCTGGCGTCAGCTCGAAGAAGCCTTAGCGTGCAGAGGCCAGCTCCAACTTCGACCCGATACAGCGATTTCATCCGATACCTTAAGGCCGACAACCCAGGAACTATGATTTGCCTTCCAGAACCGGCCGTCCAGTCCTTCAATGGTGGCTTGATCAGCGAATGGTATGTTCGCCGAGTCTCTATGATGCCCTTTGCACCATCTCATCCTATGACCGCCGATGCATCCCTCATGGTTTGGGAGCTCACGCCCTCGACCACCAAGTGGCGGAGACTGTGGTAAATCCGATGAACTGGTACTTCGCTATAAATGAGGCTGGAATTCAAAGGCAGGCTTCAATCAAACAGTCTGTTGATCCAATCCAGACATTTCGACAGTGGTTTGGTATATAAATCATCTAGGCTCGACAGGCTCAGCGAATCTCTGCTACAATACGGGTGATCGGGTTTTCCATCTCATAAACGTAGCCAGAGCAGGACACATTCCCAGGGTTAAAAAATGTGATCCGTACGATGCCTTGTCCCCGATCAACTTGACCGTCCCCAACAAATTGGAAGTTACTGCCCCAGAGCTTTCAGTCGATGATCTACCCGTTATCACGCCTCAAATAAGGTTCAACAACCAACTTCCAAAGTTGGCATCACCAATCCCAGACTCCTTGGCTTGGGACCTCGGCGCGTGGCAATATCATGGGAGGGTCTCAATGCCTCACGCGTTTCCCCTCCAGCTCTGCTACCAAAGTAATACAGAAACCTATTGGCCACCAGCAACATACTTACTGCTTTTGGTGCGCGCCCGCAATGTCAGCGAAGTTGGTTGAGATCAACCTAAGAAGCCTGGCAGAGCCAAACCAGTGCACCGCTTCCCAACGGGGACGACCTACTTCTTCTGCCGCTCACTTTCGGAACTGTGCCACGGGTCACCTCTACATCACTTCAGCGCATCGTACTTTGACCTCGGTTCAGCCGCCGACAACAAGTGGAAGAAGTTTGAAGACTATTACAAAGGTTAGGGGAATTGCATCTCCCACCCACCTTGGCTCAAGCCGTTGCTGGTTTCTCCAGCATCTCCGCACTACTAAGAAAGCTCCTGGTAGCTTTGGCTACCGCTGCTCTGATATCTGAACTGCATGCGCTTGAAGTCAATAACGGGTGCAGTTCAAGCTGAGAGCATGGCAAGGCTTTCCTGGTCTCCGCTGGGACTTCATTGCGAAAAACCAACTGCCAGAACGGCAACCGGACGGGATGTTTACCATTTCCTGTTGTCCACCATTCGTTGGGCCTGATGATGAATGAAGATTTGACACTGACGGCGATCCTTGGAGGCAGCAAGGTAGCGTGTAGCAGCTACAAGCGCCTCTTCATACCGCATTTGTCGACCGCTTCAAGAACTGGAGGTTTCCCAGACCACATTGGCCATATGGATGCGTGCCGCGATCCTGCGAGCCATTACCTTTGCAGGGTTGCCTCCTCCAGCCGTTTCCAATCCTCATGAGACTTCGCGGCACTAGCTCTCGGCGATGGCCCTCATAGCAACTGCTCCTTGACTGTTATCATGGAAGGTTGCTTCTGGTTTTCTGATACAGTCTTCTCTTCACGTACCTCTTGAGAGACCTAGTTCGACAACGGATGTCCAGGGACTACACCAGTTTGGGCGTCTTGTAACTGGCTCAGCAACATCGGCCCAACAACGCAGATGAGGGGACAGTTCCATTAAGCGTTACTGTCTTCCTTGTATATACTGAATAAAAGTTGAACTGGATCTCAACCTTTTGTTCTCATTATATGGGTTTAGAACTACTTCACTTGGCCTCCATACGCAAGGCATCGAATCATGCCACCTGGCGCCCACCACGGACTTGAGGCACAATCAGTATGGCGATGCAGTGGTGCGGTTCGACATTCACGCTTACTGACCTCTACTCCACTGAGCAATTACGTCAGTGAAGTGACACTCGAATTCAGTGGATTTCATTGCGTTCTGCCTCCAAAGTTGCCGGGCATATCCTTTGACTGAAGCTTAGGCAAAGGAGTGATGGTCAATTTGATGCCGCTCCGAACTGAGCGTTAAAGCTTGGAGATGCCGGGTTGTGTTTCTCTTTGACCGCCACCGTTGGTGTCTGGGGCCTTCTTGAAGCAGGGGCTGGCCCGATTCTGGATTGCAAGACTTTATTACGGGGTACCTTGTAATTAGTGTGGCTGAGGCCTACTTGCCCGGTTAGCCCGCTTGTCTTGGCCAAGGTTGCGGCCGAACACCACATCGACGCTTCGGAGCATCCACCCTGGGTATTCGTTGGCAGTAAGCCAAGAGGTTCGGACTGCCCAACTACCAAGCATAGAGGAGTTAGCGTGCATGCATAACAGGCCCCTCCCCTTGGCCTGACGCTATCGGTTGTCATCAGTCCAACACAGCTTCAAGACCAGCTGTTCAGCCACTGTCTGCGCCAGGCAGGGTAATCTGCGGCCCGCCGTCTCAACCGTGGGATAAGTAGCGAGAAGGTATGGATAAGTTTAAAATTGTGCGAAATTTTTAGCCATAAATTGTGTATATGCTTATGGTATCCGTCTACTGATGCCATCTCAGCCCTCCCCACTACTCAGATTACAATGTTGGCTCCAAGATGAGAATGATCATTCAAGGTAGTCATGTGGGCAATTAGTGGAGCATGCTGCAAGCTTTATTAGGAACCAGGAAGCTAATTAAGGAGAGCAGCATGGAGTGCATGGGCGAATGGACAAGGAGGCCTATGGAAAAAGGTTTACAGTCGTTCCACTAAAAGTCGAAGCAAGAGAGAGAGGTGCAAGTCGTGAGATAGGATAAGTATATAAATATACAATTTATATTAAAATTTCCAATTTGCCACCTTTATATTTTGCATGTAACCATTATTGGTTTCCTGGGCAACTAAACTTCTCTCTGTTCCAGGGAGACCTTGCTGACTTCCTGGCCAAGCATGTCCTTATTGTCCAGCAACTCAAGAGACTTAAACCTCAGACTGAAACCCAGAGCAAACTACTTAAAAACTACATCAAGGTAAAATGGAAGCTGTTTTCATGGAAACTGTCAGGACAAAGCTTGCTTTTAATACACGATCCCTGTAAGCACTCAGACACCGTAGAGCTTAGACACTGGTACAGCTCAGACCTTGGAAGAGCTTAGAATAAGATTCTGCTAGAGCACAGACCCTCATAGAGGTCAGATCCATGGTAGAGTTCAGGTCCCTGCTGGTGGTCAGTTCCTTTCAGAGCTATCTATATCTATATTATGCATATAAATACATTTTTTCCAAGCAGAACAGACTTGGCTGATGCATGTGATCCTGACCCAATTGCATAATCCAGTGCTCATGATGTTGATCACTGGATTGTTTGGTCCAGACTGAATTATTTACAGACTGCTGCAATATGTAACAGTAATATTGCTGAGTGTGGCATTGGACAACAAACAAGCTAACAATTACTTGACAGTTGTAATGCAGAAATTTTAAACCCTTTCTTTCCATTGATACTGATAACATCCTATTCAGTGTTTAAAGTTCAATGGTTCATATGACTCATACTGTGTGCATTCAGTAATCATATTAATGATTCATAATAATAATTGGACACTTATTATTAGCTGAACTCTGTAGGGACATGCTCTAAGCGATAACACGAGCGATGGGCATTAGTAGTACCCCGGATAGCCAAGCTGCCTGTGGTAGGCTAAGAAAGTTAATAGTCATATGGCGTATACCACCAGGTTTCTGCTGGGTGAACAAAGGCAGTTTGAACAAACTCACTTGCCTTAGGTGTAAGTGACCACATAGGAGTGTTTCAATTTCGTAGGGAAGGACAGAAGTCCTTGAAACTCTCACATAGTCAAGCTGCCAAAACGGTCACCCATCAAGGAATCTCCATGACCACCGTTCAGTGTTATCAATGTTCTGTTTACAACTGTCTTTGCAGTACCGTATATTACCGTCTATAAAGGCGACCCCCATGGATAAGGCGACCCCCAAACTTTACCCTTAAAATCAGTGTCAAAATGGTATGTTTTGTGCAGAAGTTGATCCCCTGTGATTAGCAAGTCCTAATCGCGGCAAACACAGACCACAGACAACTGGCAGTTACAAATAATTATAACTTTGGTCCACATTATTCAAAGAATTCTGCCAATCATATATTCGCGTCTACTCACCCGGATAAAGCTTGAGGGTGTAGTTGACCCAAGAAATGCATAAGATATTTTGTTTCTCTAAAATATCATATTTATTGTAACAAAAACTGGCTTGCTTATTTTACCCCATTCAACAATCACAAACTGATTACAGCCTGGATTTTCCATTGACTGCTAGTTTACAGTAACATCAGTAAAAATGTGTGTCAATTTTAAATGGCTTCATTATTTTACCCCATTCCGTAATGGGTACAACTTCTGCTTACCCGTTCATGAGGGTCCATTATAACCCATGATGTTAATTATATATATTTTACATAAAAGCTGTAATTGAAATTTACACAATGCTAGGTTATATTTCTTTGGGTTAAATAATAGTACTCTGTATTATATTTTACTGGCGTCTGCGTCAGAATTAGATCCCGTCATATTATTGTGCATGTTTGAACTTGTTAAGCTGCTGATTACTATTCCGGCTCCAAATACACATGGTAATCTTAATCTTAATAGAATTTATAGAGCAAAAACTGTAATTAAAATTACACAATGCTAGGATATATTTAATAGCTTTGGGTTAAATAATAGTATTCTGTTTGGCGAAAGCGAGCAATACGTGAAAAAGA